GGTAACTGGGTTGAAATTGAGACTAGTAGGAAGATTGCCAATGGGGTGTATGAAGCAAGACAAAGCACAGCATGAAAAATGGGATAGGATTGAAGGTTGAGGGCTCAGGAAGGAACGGAGTTCTTTTCCAGGAGTTGTTTTTCTTCCATTTCTTTTGTTTTTTTTTGCATGCTCTTTAAGAGTATTTGAAAAGTACATAGGTGCACACAGGGGGGTTCAAAGCATGGTGGAAGAGTAATGGTTGGAGCATGGTGGAAGCGTTTCTTTGAGTTGATACCTAGCGTTTCACGCTGTTCTTTTTCTTTTTCTTCTTGTAGTCTAGTATATGTATGTATGTATATACTCAATAACTAGCTCGTTTGAGATTACGACATGAATCTTCTTGTCTATTTATTTTGATCATTTAAGTCGTGATTATAGATTGATTGATGGATGGCTATTACATACATATCATATCACAGTCTTCTTTCTTCATGATATGCATTACATTTTCTTCTTTTAGAATGGAAATGTGGGGGGGGGGATATTGTACTTGAGATATTTATCAAGCTTTCGTTTAGGGAAAGGAGGATGGAAGTTTTTAGCTTTGAATTTGAGAGAGTGAAGTGAGAATTGATATGATATGATATGGTAGGATGGGGTAGGATAGGATAGGGGGTTATGGATGATAAGCCTCGTGATGATTTGTTTCGTGGGTTGTGAGAGGTGGGTTGTGGGTTGTGGGATGCGGGATGTGGGATTGGGGGTTGTGGTTTGGTGGCTGTGTGTTTTGTGAGGGTGTTGTGTGAGGGTGTTGTGTGAGGGTGTTGTGTGAGGGTGTTGTGTGAGGGTGTTGTGTGAGGGCGATGATCCTGGTCCTGCTGAAAATTCAAGATGTGAGGGAATCTTACAGTGGAGGCTTCGTGTTGGTATTGGTGATATGGTGGTATTGATGATATGGTTGTATTGTGGGAGAATAATCCGGGGGATAATTTTTCGGGGGAATTCTTGATTTGAGGTGAGGGGTCAGGGGTGAGGGGTGAAGGATCTCGAGGTAGGATGAGAAAGTAGGATGGAGGGAGGTGTAGTGAGCTAGATTGGGAAAGAGGGGTAATGGGGTGAGATGGGATGGGCTGAGATATCTTTCAGGTAGTATGGTGAGTCTTCTGATCGGAGAGAATGTGGTTGTGGTTGTGGTTGTGGTTGTGATGAATACCAAATAGATAGATATGAATTGGAAATAGTAAAACCATTACTCGATTTAGCAATGAGGGGTTAGTTAATATGGCGATTTCGTGACACTGGGGTTTCTCGGAGAAATCTGTGGTGAGACGGTTTGTGTATGTATGTATGTATGTAACATTTGATAACGGATGTGTGTGATTTGAATGAATGAGTATAGAAATTACTTACGTCACTGCCCTCATTGCTCCTTCTAAGTTTGTGAGGTGGATTGTGGATTTTGGATTATATTAATTACCCTGCTCTGGAATCTGAATGTACTTTGTAGAGTTTGAATGATTATCGAGAGCAAGATCTATAACTTTCTCTTACTTACAACCTCAACCTCTCGCAACTCTCTCTAATCTCTCACAACAAAACAACAATCCCTCACATTTTTCCATACATACTACTTCCAACCCTTCAATCCCACTATCAAATCCAGTCATATACAAGCAATCATGTCCAACTACGGAAACGAAGAGCAATCTGACAGTTACGGCGGACAATCTGATACCTACGGTGAGAAACAGGAGAGTGGTATGATTTGTTTATTATCCCTTCCGCTTCACTTTCAATTACTAAGTTTTGGCAGGTTATGGAGGTAGAGATGATGATACTCAGTCTGGTGGTATGTATTTTTGTTGATGTTCACTTTTCGTTTTGATGAAAATTTGGATATGGTAGGTATCGTGATGTGGTATGGCGTGAGGCTGATTTGCACGATGTAGGATATGGCAGTACAGGAAGAGATAATACGAGCAGTGGTCTAGGTGGTGATGATAATGAGTCGGGTGATGCTTATGGTAGCACTAAGAAGGATGGTTATGGTAGTACCAGAAAGGATGACACAAGCAGTGGCTTTGGTCAGGATAATACAGTGTCTGGTGATAGCTATGGTAGTACTTGGAATGAGAACACGAGTGGCGGCTTGAACGATGATAGTGTCTCGGCTGGAGATACTTACGGCAGCACCAGAAGCAATGATACGGCAAGTGGATATGGTCAAGACACTTCCTCATCTGGAGATGCGTATGGCAGTACTGGAAGCGGCAATACAAGAAGTGGCTTAAGTGACGATAACACTTCATCCGGAGATACATACGGTAGCACTGGAAGAGACAATACATCATCTGATGATACATATGGCAGCACCGGAAAGGATGATGTAAACAGCAGCTACAACGATGATGTCACATCCTCAGGTGATGCATTTGGCTCTACCACTGGCACCGGAGGTGATTCATATAATAATGACAAGATTGGTGGATTTGGAGGAGTCAAGGCTAACTCTTCTGGATTCGGTGGTGATATTAATGCTGACTCTGACGTCTCAGGTGGATATGGTGGAGACAAGAGTGGTTCTCAAGGTTTGGAAGGAAGTGGTGATAATACTATATCTGGAGGCTATGGTAGTGGTGACGACAACCAAACCTCCAGTGGTTATGGGGCCGCCAAGTCTGGTTATGGAGAGGGAGATTATGATGACAATGATCAGCCAACCTCCAGTGGATATGGTGATAATGACCAGGGTAAGTCTGCATTGAAGAAGGGCTTGGAGAAGGACAAAGAATTGTTCAATGAGAACTGAAATGATGGTGATACTTTGAGGATGCGACGATCATTGAGTATGAGATTCTCTTTTTAGCGATTGCAAGGGTTGCGCTGTGAATTTATTCACTCATATACAGTTCATCTGGGAAGCGATGATTTTAATTCTGCTCAATTATCTGGGATACTAGTACATGCAGACACGAAGATATTTAGGATGCGAAGACTTTTGATTTATTCAATTTATATGGGAATTCTGAAATGGATACTAGGGTGCGGAGATATTCGGATTGCGATGGATTTCAGTTAATGGTATTTCTCCAGGGCTATAGTTTCTCAATGAACTTTACTTTGGCCAGATGCATTTCAACTTTGATTGTGATACTGGTTGACCATCCGACTGATATAAACTCTCTTGCTTGTATACACCTCTAGCTTCGGATCGAAACTTGGAAGAAAAGTACTTTGTCGGCCTTTCTTAGGGACACTGCTCAGTTGTCTGTGAAAGCTCGAATATTAAAGACTATTGAGTGAATGGAATAGGGGAGTTTCCAAATTTCCCAGTTTTAACGGGGGAGATCTAATGAAATGGTAGGTGTAGATATCTTCTGTCTGTCGGAGCAAAGTATACCATGTGGCAAGCTTGAGAAAGACTCGAGCTTATTACCCAATTCTCATTTCATGAAACAATTCTTCCTTGATGGATAGTTTCTTAACATTTCGATGTTCTAAGGAGAACTTGCATACTAAATTAAGGCAGGGAAATGGTTTCCGAGTTCGCTCGAGAACGGAGGATGAGGTTGAGAAACGTGTAAATTTGATGCTTGGGATTCCGTTGAGGACACTTTTGAAGTTTTGATAGGAATCTGGTGCGATGTTTTGACAGCTATGTGCATAGACAAGACAGTTTTTGGTAGTCCAGAGAACAGTACATGGTATAGTTTCCCTCACAATAAAAATAAAGGCCTAGGGTTGAGCATCACAAAAATGACGGCTTAATGCTGGTTGGAGATAGAAAAGATGGTGTGTGTGTGAATACAACAGCACTTAAATATCGCATGCGCTCTATAGCATGGTACAAACTATACCATCCACTTTTGTGAGTTTTATCTTGATTCATGATACTATCATGTCAGAAAAGAGATAAGAAAGCCATTTGTAGGAGAAAGATTCTCAACATCATTTATCATATATCATGGTATTATAGGCATGTTGCAGCCGAGTTTTAAGCGAACTTGCAGCAGCGCCTGGGAGATGTTTATGTGCTTGCTAAGGGGCTTGAGAAGGTAGATCTAGGAATTGAATAGAACTGACTAATCTGCTTCGTGATGAAAAGTTGATATGAAGGGTAAGCATGCATGCATATTTAACTTTCTACTCGTAGAATGGCTGATCAAGGTTCTATTTGATACCTATAATCTTGAGTTGAGGGAGGGGATATGTACATGAGATATGAGAGATGATTAATGAGACAATTAAGACATGGACAACTAGACTCTACATTTAGATTCTATGGCACATATGTTTTACTCAAACCAATACATGCACATATTAGGATATTGGTTCGTGGTATGGTATACAGCGGTACTTTCCATTATGTGATATATAACTTGCAATTGAGAGGTACCATCGGGTTTCGAACACCACAACGATGGAGGTAGAAGACCGGTATGATGGAGAAGGAGAATTCTTTTGTAAGAAGCCATGGTTAGAAATAGAGTAATTGTACGGAAAATATAATCGACAAAGAGAAAGATGTGAAAATAAAATGTATACGAGTGATACCAAAAGCGTATAGTGCAAAGAGATATCAAGAGGGAGGGAAAGGAAAGGAAGAGGAGATATATATCTCTATCTAGATTCCAGACGAGAGAAAATGGATATTGTTCACCGACCCCTCAAAATCTCACATCCTCACATTTCTTAAGAAAGAGGATAATAATCACTCGGTCACTTTCGTCACCCATACTTAAATCTCTTTTTATATAAGTCATCACCTCACTTAGTTAGGGGGTTAACCAAGATTGTCAAAATCATCAAGCACAACGTTATCGATATCAATCTCAAAATCAAACATCAACAAATCCTGCATTCATTCTACTCCAATATTCCATTCCACACTACCCCAGCCATCCCTCCTCCCTCAGCTTTCCACAACCCATGCCCCCTCCATCAACCGAAAACAGCTCATTCATCCAAAAGCTTGCCTCTAATCCTCCTCCCGTTCTCAACGTATGACCCTCGCCTGCCTAATAATCGCAAGCACAGTTGGTCCATGCATTGTTACAGTCACTGGCAGCGTACACCTAGCATTTGTTAGTGTGAAAAGTCTTATACCATATCAACAGAAATACGTGCAAGTCCAGCAGCTTCGCACGAAGCTTCGCATTGCGCCCGAGTGGGACAGGTGTAGGGACCCCAGGTATTCTGGCGGCTTTCAATCGCAGCGCCCATGCCAAAAGCAGCCATGGCGAAAACGACAAGAGAAATAGAGGCCTTCATGTTGAGAGTTTTGGGGTAGAATAGATGTTGCTGTGTTTGTTGGGTTGTGTAAGTAGACTTTGAGGGAAGAATAATAGTCTTTTCGGGCTAATCCTCTCATTATTTATATTGCCAGAAAAGTATGCGTGCTATGCTTAGTCCCATATTACCGGGAATGTCATTGATGCATCATTAAGCAATATCAGGGGAGCTTATCGGCCAAATTGTGGCATATAGTATAACAGGGTTTTCAAGTGAGGCTATCTCCATATTTCAATATATCTGAATCGCTCAAAAACCTCACCGGTTATGGAAAGCAACGAAGTCCTACCGGCACCTGGGACCACCTTATAAGGGCAATAAGGATCCGGTGGCCTTGGTACGGAAGAGGGTTTCAAGTGGGGCTCGCGCACCCCATGGCTGTGGCGAGAGGTATTCCCCAATGGTAAGATAAAACGTAAGCAACCCTCCCTTAAATGGTAAACAGAATACATGGAGTGCGCGAGTCCCACTTGAAACCCCCTTCCGTACTCGTGCGGCCAGAAAGTATGCAACTCCGGCGCTATGAAAACCAGGTTAGTCCTCTTGTAGTTTATCATCTTGTGCTATGTGCATCTAGCGTCGGAGTTGCATACTTTCTGGCAGCACGAGTACGTAGCATCTCATATACTGGCTAATATGCACAGCAAGTCAAGTCCCAAGTGGATATCTCTGAGACATAGCAGGCTGCATGAGCCCAGAAACTCTAACTTGCAGGGAGATATGCACGTCGTAGCCAAGCCTTAACCGAGAGCTGCAGCCTGCTTATGTTTCTAACGAAGCGAAAGGGTGCACGCACTTGATGAGCTCGCATTTCCGGTCTTTCTACATTAGGTAGTTCCAGTTCATCATTTGTAATGCCTGGGTTTTCGATCAAGACAGGGAGACGAAAAGCTTACAGACTGCTAATATTGCGAGCATGGCGTCCAATTCGGTGCTCTTACTTGGAGCCACGGGTTACATTGGAGCAGCGTTTCTGTCCCGCTTTAGCAACAAATATCTTATATCTCCATCACCACGATATAAACTTACAGCATCAACTCGAAGTCCTGAGAAAGCTAGAAGACTAAGGGACTTATTGGGAAACATCGAGACGACGGATGTTACGCTTAACGATGGTGTAAAGCTTGAAAGGAAGGTCGAGAAACATGACATTATAGTCCAACTAGTCAGTCTTCGCACCTCTGAATACTCTTGGGGAAATGGATACATTCAGCTGATTCTGCGAAGGCTGATTGTGATGCACTCGAAGGCACCAAGTCTATTCTGAAAGGAATCAAGACGAGAAAAGAAAAAACAGGATATCCGCCAATTCTCCATCATGCTGTAGGTCCGCTAGTTTTACAGTCAAACTGCGTTTGCTAATGGTAATTTCTTATCAAGTCAGGGGGAGGTAAGTTTTCTCCAACTACTCGTGCTACCAGAAATTATGCAACTCCTGCCTCAATAGGATTAAGACACTGTGTGAAAGCTCACTAGAGCTTGGAAAGGGCATAAATCTTTGAAATTTGAACTGAAAGCAGTAGAGCTTCAATATAAGCGAGCCATTCAATTGATTGATTTTTCCAAATCTCCATTTATTATAATGGAATTGAAAGAAGCAATGGATTCCATTGACCTATTAAGATCGATATAGTGTATTTAGTATCGGAGCTGTATACTTTCTGATAGCACGAGTACCTTGTAGCTCAAGTTGATCCAGTGTTAGCGTTTCTTTTTGACGAAAAATGAATGGCTATTCGTCCCATGTAATCATTTCTGACATAGAATCTGACCTTATCAATGATATCCCAATAAGCAAACCCCGTAAGCAGACCCTTCTTAGATTTGAGATTTCTAAGTAACAGAAATCCAAGATCGCGTTGTCGACCACAGTATTGTCAAAGCTGATGAGGCTGGTGATTTACTATCCTTTATTACAGTACCATTTGTCGTGTATGGCACCGCTACGGGGTTGATCCACGAACACAAGCTTGGTCACCAAACATCTATGCCTGTTCCACGACTCATTCATGTTTCTGTGGATAGAAGAGCCGTGGGACAACTTGGACCTGGTGAGAACCCGTGGATGATATCGCACGTCAATGATGGTTGGTCTCCCGAACTCAACTTTATATTAGGAAACGATTCCGGCCGGGCTTTGCTAACGATTCTTTTAGTAGCGGAACTTTCTATGGCGTTATTGGAAGATACTGCAAAGGGACACGGAAAAGACGGCTTCTATTTTGCTGATGGAGGTTACGTTCTAGCCCGCGATGTCTCCAGAGCTATGGCAGAGACTTTCTCTTCAATAGGGTTATCCGAGGAACCATCTCCAAATACTTACACCGAAGAAGAACTGAACGAGTACACAGTGATAATTTTCTCCCTTATACACACTATCCTTGTTACACTAACATAGAATCAGATCAGTTTCTGGGGCGCAAGTATCCAAGCAACAGGTGATAGAGCAAAGAGGACCGGTTGGAATAATCCGCATACGGTGGGAGAATTCCAAGGTCATGTCGTGACTGACACGAAGAGACTGGCTTTTCAGCCTTTACAGTCTTATGGAAGGTGTCTCGATTACTCGGATTAGAATACGTATACGTCTTCTAGGCAACAATTGTATTGAGATTAGGAGTCACATAGCAAGGCACTCAAACCATCGTGCACCTAGCTCTGCTCAACTCGAGCGGGACCTGACATTCGAGGCGTCGCTAGACATCACAAACACCGGTGATCATGACGGCTGGGAAGTGGCTCAGATATGCATTTCTAGCAAGGAGAGCCGAGTAGCAAGGCCCAAGAAAGAATTGAAAGCATTTTCGAAAGTTTGGATTCGGATGGGCACCTCGGATTCTGTCACCGTCAGCCTTGACAAGTACACTATGTCTTTCTGGAATGAAGTGGGTAGAGAGTGGCTCTCATAGAAGGGGACCTATCGGATCATCGTTGGCAGGAGTGCAGATCCCAAGGACGAGATCTTGTACCATGATGTTAAGCTAGAGGAGGATTCCAGATGGTCGGGAATCTGATTTAAGACATTTTAGCAGTACTATATTATACCTATCATTAGGTACTCATCATAGCTTTTTCTGATATAGCACCCGCCTTAGAACAAGTTCAGAAAATTAAGACGTAGATTAACTGTCTTTAATGTATTAGTCAAGAAACCGTCCTGTAAATGCTCTTTGCGTGATTCTGGAGATACTGCTTGTGCTGAGTAACGAGGTAACCTTAGAGGCGGCTGACTAACCTTATTTACACCGCCTTTATTTGAAATGGCAGAATATATTCAATAAACATATCAACGAATCCAACCTCTTCTCCCCACGACAATAAACAATTCTTGAAGCTTCGTATAATACAACGCGTCAATTACAACAGCCGATAAACTTCAGCTCAAGGTCACTACATTGAAACTTACTTCGCATTACGAAACTTCTGCATTGCAATATCCAAAAGGATCTATCGACGCGACGCGTGTTGCTACAATGGCTGTTCACGATGTTGCCCCGGGCTACATTACTTTCGAAAGTAGAGTGGCATCTTACCGTAGTGCGCAACCCCTTACTGGTCGTAGGACGTCGACCACTGGATCCAAAGCTCCAAAAAGTCTTAAATGGCCGCACAAATCCTTGCTACCAGAAGAAGTATGAAGTATTCTATCTTTGTTTACTTATCGCTCGCTGACCTTGCGCAAAGCTTGCGAAAGCAGGTTTCTTTTACTATCCTTCGCAATCCAATCCCGACAATTGCGCTTGTTTTCTCTGCCATAGATCTATTGATGCCTGGGAGGAAGGTGATGACCCATTGAAAGAACATTTGAAGCATTCACCAAATTGTGGATGGGCGATTGTTGCCTCGATTGAGGCACAAGATGAAGAATTGAGCAGGGAATTCCCCGCCAGTTTGAGAATGGTCGAGGCTAGAACTGCTACATTTGCAGGAAAATGGCCTCACGAAGCAAAGAGGGGTTGGAAATGCAAGACTAAACAGGTATGGACTGTCTGTTATTCATGGCAACATTTATACTGACGAGGTAATAGTTGGTCAACGCTGGATGGAAATATACTCCAACCGAAGAATCGAACGATATGGCGACTTGTACTTATTGTTCATTGGCATTAGATGGATGGGAGCCATCCGACAAGCCATTGTATGTTTGGGAATCTCTCCAATGACTACAGAATCTAACTACCCTCAGGGATGAACATTTTAATCGATCACCCGAATGCCCTTTCTTCATACTTATCGACGAACATAACTCTGAACTTGCCCTGAAAAAGTCAACTGCCAAGAGAGGCAGAACATCGAAAGCATCGCGGCTATCTACACAATCCGCTGTTACCATTGCTAGTGATGCAGATGTTGAAGAGGGGGATAGCATCATGTCTACAGCCACACAAAAAGGCAAAACATCTGGGCCCAGAGGTCGAAAGCCTTCGGCTAAAAAGGCAGTCCCAGCTCAATTATCTACACAGCCCGCTATTGATGTAGCTAGTGATGCAGATGTAGCTAGTGATGCAGATGTAGCTAGTGATGCAGATGTAGCTAGTGATGCAGGCGCTGCTAGCGATGCAGATGCTGCGGAGGGGGATAGCATCATGTCTACAGCCACAACAAAAGGCAAAGCATCTGGGCCCAGAGGTCGAAAGCCTTCGGCCAAAAAGGCAGTCCCAGCTCAATTATCTACACAGCCCGCTATTGACGTTATTAGTAATGTAGCTGCCGAAGAGGGAGACAGTATCATGTCTACAGCAACAACGAAAGCGAAGACATCTGCACTCAAAGGCCGAAAGGCCCCAGCCAAAAAGGCTGCCTTGGCTCAATTATCTACACAGCCCACCATTGACGTTGATAGTGATGCAGACGATGTAGATAATGTAGAGGATGCAGAGGGGGACAGCATCATGTCTACAGCAACAACGAAAGCGAAGACATCTGTACTCAAAGGTCGAAAAGCCCCGGCCAAAAAGGCCGCTTTATCTCAATCGTCTGCCCAGCCCGCCATTGACGTCGCTAGTGATACAGATGATGCAGATGATGCAGAGGGGGGCAGTATCATGTCTATAGCCACAACAAAAGTGAAGACATCTGCACTCAAGGGTCGCAAGGCTACGGCTAAGAAGGTCGAACCAATTGAGGCTCCTAAAGCCCCAACGGCATCTTCTAATCGTGGGAGAAAGAGGAAGAGCGACGACGAGATGTCTCAACCTGACCTTCCAAATCCCCAACCTAAAAAACGTACTACAAGGGCTAGTACAGCACAAGTTGTTATTCCTCAAGCATCCGCTGCACCACTCCGAGCACCCACTTTTACAGACTTGCAAAACCAGGCAGAAGCTTCGGACTTGCTTTGGATGGAAGGATCTCCACTGGAATCACCCCCCGGATCTCCACCCCCCTTGTCCCCACCCCAATCTTCAGTCGCGGACAACCAATTTTCAGACACAGAACATCAATCTTCCGATGCGGAAAACCAGTTCCCTGAAAGACCCAACACTCCTCCAAATCAAGGTTCTATAGCACCTAAAACTAACAAGCAATGGGAGCCCGTAGATGCTGAGATGTTTTTCGGCGAAGAAGAACATGAGCATTTCTTGGAAGCAATGTCGAATCTCAGGACAGGAAATTTAACCAAAGCAGAGAGCCAAATGTCGGTGGAGCAATGGATTTACCATACAGCAACAGTTGCTCAAGGAAAGCTTCTTGACGAATGCGAGCGTATGGTAGCAGCATTTGAGGCCGAGGGCATGAAGGCGTTGTCTTGTCTAGAAGCAATGGAAGTCGTCTGAACTTGAGTTCAATAGTGCATGAGTTTAGCTGGAATTTGTTCAAATCGGACTTGGATAAGTCTCATTGGGAAAATCAGGGGCATTGGCGTTTGAGCGGGTCTGTTTTTTCCTCTTTCGTTAACTAAATATTATATACCCCGTATCAAGACTATCAGATGACTCAATTCCAAATACGTATTGAATTTGTCCCTCTATCTAACGAGATTTGTGACGCGGACATTTGATTACATGAACACTTTATTTACAGATTATTGGAACGTGACTTCGATGAATTTAATCGCTTGAACGATATGTACATTTTTGGGTATATTACTATTTTATTAACTCTATTTACTTTTTTGAAATCTCGTTGCTCATCTCAGTTTTTATACGAGTTATTGTGCCGGCACCTCCATAGACCCTATTGAATATATTAGTATACACTGTAGAATATTTGGGCTTTTGTTATATTCCACGTAGAGATAGTAGTTAGAATGGGTGAGACACTTACATTGCTGTGTAAACCTGGGCGACATCTGCACCTGCATTTAAGACCTCTAGTGCTTGTTTTCCATTCGTGATGCCACCAGTAGCGAAAATTACTTTCTGATCGTTTGCTTTGTTGCCCGTGAGAGATTTTGCCTTTTCGGCGATAGTGGATACAAGACCAGCGTCGTTTGATTCAGTAGTGGTATCTTGTTGTGGTGGTCCTTGGTCGAGTAAAGCTCTATATCTCTTAACCAAAGAGAGCGTTCTCTCGAACATTGGTGGTCCGGAAAACCCTCCCTGTTCTTCAAGAATCCTGCTCTCTCTGGCTGAAATTCTAATATCGTCTGGGATGAGCTTGTCTCTTCGGTTTGTAGTATTACCCACAATTATACCGTCAACACCGCTTCTCCAAACAGCTTCGACAATACCCTCAATTTGCTCGTCTTGATCTTCATCGGGTGATACCTTGACCATAACCCTAGGCTTTGTTTTCCGATCTACGGATTTGGCGGCCCCAACCACTCCCTCTAAGATTCGGGATAATGGTTCAACTTTTTGTAATGTCCTCAAGCCAGGGGTGTTTGGGCTACTGACATTGACGACCAAAATATCGGCATACGGAGCCAATCTCTCAACACAGTGTACGTAGTCTCTCTTGACGGCCTCAATGTCATCACCGTTGGTATTTTTATTCTTGGCAACTTGTACGGCCAATAATTTCCCGTCCAACAAACTTCCTGGAGGAACACCGGCTTCTCCATTCAAAACCATCTTCTCAGCATCTTCACCCACACCCAATCCATTTTGATATGCGAATAAACGAACCCGTTCCCTCAATCGCATAGCCATATCATCTGCACCCTTTGAATTAAGTCCATATCGATTGATCAAAGCATTCTGACTCGGTATACGGAAAACTCTAGGTTTTGGGTTTCCATCTTGAGCAAGTGGTGTACATCCGCCAACCTCGACAATCGCAGGACCCATAGCAAACAAGGCATCTGGAACCTCCGCTAATTTGTCAAGCCCCGCAGATGTACCAATTGGATTTTGTAATCTCTGTCCCCATACTTCCACGCTCAAATCGGCCTTATCTGTATTACCGTTTCTGAAACTTCGATCGCGGGGATGGAGACCGAATGAATAGAGTGTTTTGAGAGCTTTAGTTCCTACATGATGGGCCTCTTCAGCATCGGGATATATGGCACGTAATGCGGGAACCACAAGCCATTGGTGAACGCTAGCTCGGGTATCGGTAATATATAAGTAGCCAAAGCCGAGAGCGAGAGCTATCGAGGTTCCAACGAGGAGATTCTTGGATCGGGTAAGAACTGGGGATGTTTCGGCAGTGGTTGATACGAAGCGTTTGGTAGATATACGGGATGGAGAAGAGGAGAGCATTGGTCGCGATGTACGCAGAGTGCGCAAGAGAGGGCTCGACATATTGAATGTCTGTCCAGGTACGAAGGAAATGGAGGGACGGATTGCTTGCTAACGGGGATGTTTAAAAATGTTGTTCTATGCGTAACAATACAATTAATCTGTCTTCGGGTGGGTGGTTATTCCGTTCCGTTCGAAGCTATCCACTCCACTTCAACCCCACGATGTTTACCCATATCAACACAACGGTCATGCTTTCATGAATCTACCAGAAGGTCTTTTTGTACAGGTCATTCATGGTGTCAAAAACCTACAAATGATCAAGTGCTAGTACATTTGTATTGGCTTTCTAGAAACTGATTGATTGCCAACTACTGACTGCCACAAATCACCTGGTCGGTGATGATCGATGTCAATTACCAACCTCACCATTCCATATTCACTCAATCTATCTTCGATGAGATTGATCCAAATTTGGATCAATCTCGTGTGACTTTCTTGCTTGTTTTCTTGATGGACAAAAGCTCTAAATGGGGTGGAGAGAGCAAGATTTGATATGGGCTCTATTTTGCTACTGTTTTGATTGAAGCTTCTGACTCTTTCTCTTGGCTGAACGCTGGATTTCTGTCATCGAAGTGGCTGGAAGATTGGAGAGAAAAGGAAGTGATGTACACGTATCTTGGAAAGTTTAAGAGCCACTCTTTTGGCTGATATCTCTAAGTTAGATGAGTGATATAGAGATACAATGAGAGGAGTCTCTTCTTATTCACTTCTTCCTTTTTTTCTTCTTCACCCCCTCCTCTTCTTTGAAATCTCAATTGCGCTCTATTCTGTATGCTTTCTCATTTACAATAAGACTCCCCTCTCCTAATATGCTTGGATCTACTCGAGTATTACTCCTTTCTCTTTCAAGGCACGTTTATACCTTTCATAATTTATGGCTTACACAAGCTGTTCAACTCTGAATATTTGTTACTCTTTCATCCATTCTAATTCAATCAACGTAATTCAATATGACAAACAAAAACTTGGGTTTCTGTTATTCTCATGCACCATGTGACCGTAGAGTCGAGTTGTTGTTTCTTGTCCTGCCTAGTATGTGTGTCCAATACTATTCTTCACACTGCTCATCTAGCCTTGTAAAACAAATCAAAACACAAATTAACAAAATTCGATACTCACTAATACACTCACCTGAAGTTCATTGAAACTACCCCACTCATATTCACTCCTACCCGTATTACAAATATTCTTTAAGGAGGGGGCTTTGCTTCTAGAAATCCTCTTCTTGTTTTCTTCTAATATACAACTATTCTGAAGTTTAAATTTGTGCACAAGACCAACTTTTTTTCATCATCTTCCATCTCACACAATTCAAGGCATCAACTCAGGTCTTGTTAGCTAGGCCTCTGACATCACAATGGAGAACCTCCCTGAGGCAAAAGTAAAGCAGGATCAAATCAGAATGATGGACAAAGATTCAACAATTACAGTTGACATGAACCCAGATATCAATTTCTGGTTGTCAAAGTTACACGCACTTACAGCAACTCGGTATGAAAATTTTCAAAAGCTTACAGACATTGATGTTTTAAGGGAGGAAGCTCATGTTAAATACCGTATCTTGATCGTGAGTATCAATATTTGATCAGCTTCGAGAATTCAATGCTAAATTCATGTCTCTTGCAGGAAGATAATATGGCCAACTTCAAAAAGGAATTCCCAAATGCTTCAAGAGCTTTGGTGGCTGAATTTCTGAAAGTGGCTTTTGAAAATAAAACTCTTGACGACTTGAACGTTGCGCGTAAGAAACAAGAGATCGTTTACACTGCCTCCCGTGATGAGCTAGAAGAGATGTACAAGACTTTCAACAATGTTTGTTCATCACTTTCACAATTCCACCGGTAACAACAGCTGACATTGAGTAGCTCTTCCCGAAACACATTCCTCAAGATGTTCAAAATCGTGCGATCATTAGTTTTCCTGCTACTGAATTCGAGAGGATAGTAGCATTCTTCCAAATTTGTTCGCCTGAGGATGTTGCCAGAGAAATCTTTACACACAAGGCATTGCCAGGCTTCAAAATTTATAGCTGTGAGAAGAGCTTCAATAGAGACGACCTTCCGCCATCATACAGAGCGCAGGTCGAGCGTGCACGACAGTTCCCTGACAAGCCGAATCGCTTCATCTCATATGATACCCCAGGAGTTACTGAGAAAATGCGAAACCCACAACGCAGAAAAGAAAAGGACGTTTTTACTACTACCTTGGAGACTGTCTGGGTTTACCATCCGATTTTCAAGAAATATGGGCCGCGTGTTGGTCAGCAGGTTTTTCACAAATACGCGAATGGCCTCGCCCATGGCTTAAGAAGGAGAATGATGATCTATGTTGAGATTTCAATTGTTGATGTTGAATGATTGAGTACTTTTAATCCAAACCAGAGAAGGCTCAGGGAGAACGGCATTTCATTCCACTTTTCAAGAATTCAATACAGTGCAAAAAAAGGGATCTTACAAAGTTAAACAAATACGCAATACTAGAGGTAGCACTCCTAACAGTCTTCTGTATCAGGATCTCGACTACTTTGCATCGCATATGAAAACGCTATTTGGGACGAATCTCGCCTTAATAATAAAAATTCCCTATTTTGTACAAATGTTTTAGGGTTTACTTTGTTTTTTGGGAAAGGCATGGGTTGCAAAAGATCTCACGTTTGTGTTTCTTTACTTCAGTTGTCTAGCAATATTAAAAGATCAAAATAAAATGCGGCTGTTTTATGAAATTGTGATATGGTGAACGATGGTAGTGACTGGGTCCTAAAATGGATGTTACTCCCATGGCTATCTATTTATTCTGTGGGATGATCCTTTTTAAGCTAGATATATTCATACATAATTGAGTTGTTAAATTCAGGGCGAATAGTTTTAGGCTTACTAAATATGAGATCTTTTTTACTGGTATCTAGAATGGCTTTCACACCAGGCGTCTGAGGGATAGAGTGCAAATCGCGTATTATTGTAATCAGCAATGCATTTTGATTTGCCTTCTTGTTGTACCTAGGTTGAATTTATCTGTCCCCCCGAATCAAACGACACAAATCGATAGATTGTGTGATCGCATCCAGACAAAAAAACCCTCTATTATTTCTTACCCACTTCAAAAGTCTCATCGCTCCATCCAAACCACTTCTTCATCCGCTTTCCCATCACTCCCAACATGACTGCGTCCACAACACGCTCGGGATGGGGTTTGTGGAAGACTATCTTACCCTTTCCAAACCAAGGCGAGCTAGTATCAGGCTCAAATTGAACGGCTGATCCTCCCCTTTCATGACTCGCTATGAATCCAGCCTCGGCCATGGCGTTAACAAGAGAGTCCCAGGGTACAGTTTTAGTGCGCTCCTCGAAATTTCGGCTCGGGAACATGGTTTGAATATGGCATATGAACTCTTTCTGACGAGTACTCTAGGCGATGGTAAAGGTGCAGAAGTTGCAGGACTTGCGGCCAGTTCACTAAGTATCTTCACAGAGTTCTTTTCGTCATCTGTGTTGGGAAGCTTCCTGGTTTTGAATTTAGAGCGAGTTGGAACGCCAACTTTCTCTGGCTTTTCAGTGCCCCATTGCTCTTGATCGATAAAATTTCCAAAAGCTGCAACCTTTTTCGCGTGTCTGGCTGCTATCTCTGTGTGTATTTCAGCATTTCGCTTCTCAATCGATGCGAGGTATTCCGGGTCACTATCCGCAGATAGAATTGCGAGATCATGGTCTATATCTTCTTGGCAGAAACCTAGACGACGGAGAGTATATTCATGACGAGCTCGAACTTGCACCCATATTTGACTAAGTGCCTTTCTCTGTTGCTCATCATTATCGACCCATTGCTGGCTGAGACGTGTTCCAGTTGGTTTTGGTGTCTCCATAAATATCTTGGTGGGGTCTGCTAATAACTTTTCAGCCCTGATTCTTTGGCTCTGGCTTTCCCCCATGGGAATAATTTCATCGGGGAGCCCGGTCACATTATTGTAATTTGTCAACAATTATTGATCCTCCAAATGTTTTTCGATGTAACGCCATGCACGACCATGCTCGAGTTTTGCAACGTCCTCGGCTTCTCGTCTCTTTGCTCGAGGGCGATGTAATCGTACCATCTCAAGCATTTGATACATTGCTGCAAGGCTGGAGACCACTGCATACACAGTTTCAGCCAGTCTAGCGAGCTCTTTGAAGTTTTTGGTTTCATGGCACTTGGCCAAATGCTCCTCGAGCATAGCAAATATCATTGCAGGCGTAAGAGGAGAAACTTCCTCGAGCTTAATATCGGAGCTGGTATCAAGTAACAACAACGCCAAGCAAAAGTCCAATCTGTCTTTGGAAAATTCGGGGTGGGAGACTGTGTGTCTTCGCTGCCAAGCAGGAAACGTGCCATGATTACTGGAAATGCTGGTTAGTTTGTACTCTCGCAAATACATAGGCAATAAATCACCTAGGTATTTTGAACGCCGGCGGATTTGATCCAACAACAATGCTTCGAGCGACCCTAACGCTGCATCGTAAGCTTTTGATAAAGGCTTGAGTGGATCAAGGCTCTCATTCAAAGTAATTTGCAAGTTCTTTAGTTTTTCAACCTCGTCTACAATCCAACCCCAGGACCAGAACATGACCATATCCTGAATAAGTAGAATTGACGATGCGATAATAAACTTATCATAATTCTTAAGCTCTTTCCCCAAGTTACTGGTCATGGCGAGTTCAATGTAGCGCCTAGCATATAAAGGATGGGTCTGTAGAAATCGAAGATGGTCTCCTTGTACAGCTTCTCTTGTCTTGGCGATATTCAACAGAGAATTAATGTCAAAAATGGGCGGCGCCGAGAATGGCTGGTCCAAATAGCAGGAAGCTGTTCCCGGTATGTGATCAAATCGTCCATTCAACGTCATTGAGCCACATTTAGAGATTTCATCGAATGAGCTTATTTGGCTTTCCATAGAATAGCCAATTGTGGACCCAAGAATTCGCTCAACCGTGGATCGAAGGAATGAAAGAAGATGTGCTTGTGCCTCGAGAATGAGGATTGCTCTTGGAAACCCGACAGACGTCCATCTGTGTGCTTCTCCACTTTTCCATTGCGTCAGCGTTCCATATGCCGAACTGGCCAGAATTATGCTATGGCTGTTGTAGTCGAGAGCCAGAGAACCCATGTCCCAATGTTTGTCAAGGATGAAATTATCATACGGAGCCCACTGCTCAGGGGAATGTTGGGTGCGAGTTTGCAACAGACTCAAAAACATCACAGGGTTTTCGATTAATCCTTCCAAGTTTATGTAAGGCAGTAGACATGCATTACGATACTCTCGCATATACCGACTTAGCGTGATATCTGCGCTGATCCAGTAATCGGAAGGAAGTGTAGCCTGAAACGCTTTATTCAGGTGTGCAAGAGGCCACCGATGCGGATACAAGTTGGGATCAATATCGCGTAAGAGGGCCTCGCGTTTATTGCGACTCTTCTTCTTCCATCTCTTGATTATTGAATCTCCATTAGTTTGGCATTGTTGTCGCAGATAGACTAGATTCCTGCTTATTTCTGTGGCAAACCCCCCAGCCTTCTGTTGAGCTTCAACATCAGAAAGTGCAAAACTATACGTCGTTTGGTGCTCCTGAACTTTTTGAGACAGGAATTGTTGGACACATTCTGAGCATTCACACGGAGGCTCGAAACAGTGTCTATAACACCAGAATGATCCACCGCGAGTTGCAAAATTTGAATAGTAACGAGGATAGATGCATAAAGCCCTATGCATCCTAAAGTAGAATCATGTTAATATATAAGATACAGAGGGAAAACACTAGAATTTAGCTTACAGATTGCGTGCTTCAGCGTCGTCCTTGCGCATCTCAGTCATCTCCCAAACCATGCTGTAGGACGGAAAAGCCTTGTAAAAGAAAAATAAAGTCGTTGAAAATATTTAGTAAGTACCATGGAAGAATAGGTATAAGTACGTTGGAGTGTCAGGCAATATTCAAAGCTACAACTTACCACGAATAACCTTAGTTATAGGTATCTTCAGATTAAAAGAATGGAGCACAAAATACAAAACAATAGTTCACTTTCCCAGTTCAAGTGAATTTGGGACATATATGATAATTCACCAGCCCCCTCCACAGTCTTTGCCTCCAATTGTCCATGTTACGTTCCAAACCTCCCTTAGAGCAAGGCTCGAGATCAGTTGAGACGCTACAAACTTGTCATTTTGGTGGGATGTTTTTGCAGGAATTACCTAGATAGCTACACTTCGATTCCCAATTCTCGACAACAATATAGCATCGTGGTCGTCAATACGATGAAATTGGACTCCAGATTTAAAAACATTACCTGGTAATGCTTTCACAGGAAGTGGCATAATTCTGGAATTTTGCCATCCTTATTAATTTCTGAGTATGAATTCGAGATTCAAGCATGAATTCGTAAAACATCAAGAAGAGAAGCTGCATAACTATCGTTGCAATGGTAGACTCATGAAAAGTCTCTCGTCAATCTGACATCGAGGAGGACGCTGGATTTAGTTACGGAAGAATGATCAACCGATTGATGCTTTGTCAGCATAAATTTTGGAGCGGATTCAATTGAGGCGAACTTAATTAAATACGACCTCATACACCTTTCATCGACCTCAACACAATATCAATTAATACATACTGAGACAATCTTATACATTAACATCAATGACCAGTTATATCGGAATAACAATCTCACCTACTTCATTTCATCCTACTTGATGCAAAACCAAGATCGGAATTGAAATCAAAGTATCACGATGAACAATGCCAATATTCAAGTGAAGCATGTTGAATCTACGGACGATGCCAATGCTCATTCCAATCCAAAGCATCCCAAACCTATGGATGATGTCAAATTTCGAGTACAGCCAGTCGAAACAAACTATGGCAAAGGGGGCTTCCATCCCATACATCTCGAAGATACCTTCAAGCATGATCGCTACAAGGTCATACACAAATTAGGACATGGAGGATTCGCGACGGTATGGCTTGCGCGAGATACTAAGCGAGAAAGATATGTTGCTTTAAAAGTTCTTGCAGCACGACTGTCAAGTACTTCAAAAGAGGTTGACATGTTACGTCAGATGAAGTCAAGGCGAGTGAAGTCTTCTTGAAATTAAAGAAAAATGTTTCAAATCACATTGCGAAACCCAAAATTTCAACCGCAAATTTCTCATTGGTGCTCTATGTTGTTCCGAACTTAAAATCCAGTTTCGCATTCAAGATTTTTGCTTGCGCTGACTAATTTTGCATCGTATCAGTCCCGAGCATGACGGAAGATTTTACGTCATGTCTTTGCTAGATCATTTCACCCACAAGGGCCCAAACGGAGACCATTTATGCTTGGTCTCTGAAGTTGGAGGACCTAGCATCAGACAGTTCAATTCTTGTCCAGGTGAATATAAAGGAAGCCGACGGTTGGAAGCGTCTGTGGCAAGGAATGTTTGCTTGCAGGCCATACAAGGCTTGAAATATATTCATAGCACCGGTGTCGTTCATGGAGGTTTGCAATGTCATATAAATCCCTTCTTACTTTCGATCAGCTCACCATAAAATTAGATGTTACTCCTGCCAACATTCTGCTACAGCTTGCCAACATCGACGAGTGGACCGAGGAACAAATCTATGAAAGACTAGGTGTTCCTCAGAAAAAAGAGATCATCTATGCCAACTCCAAGCTTCCAGTAACTGATTCTTCCTTTCCTGATTATACCGTTGCTCCAATCAACATGAAGGAGGTAAATCCCAAGTGGATAGCAAATGACATCATAATAATCGATTTCGGTATCGCCTTTCTCCAAACAGCCCCATCGTTTGACCTTGGCACGCCCAAAAGCTATTGTGCACCTGAGTTCTTGTTCGGTTGTTACAGAAGTGTCGCTTCGGATATATGGGCTTTAGGATGTACGATTTTTGAGATTCGTACAGGATCTCGGTTGTTTAGATATGATGGCATTCCTAACAGGGACGAGATGTTAATAGCTGCAGTGAGACTTCTAGGCGCCTTCCCTGATGAATGGTGGGCTGCGTGGAAAGAAGGTCTAAAATGGTATGAACAACAAACAGAAATTGATGCAAGATCAGCAGGAAATATACTTGATCAAATTTTGCAGACCGGTACACACGATGGTGATTCTCCTCCTCACAGACAAAAGCTTAGAAACGCAGCGTTGGAATTCATCGAGCAATTCAAGGAGCGTCCTCGGAATGACATGCTCGATGGAACAGATCAACTCGTGGAGATGGCGGAGAAGTTGAGAACTAGCGAGGCGGAGGCTATTCTCAAGTCAGTGAATGCTATTGACCAAGGAATATCTGTTTCTCATTCCAATAAAGCCGAAAATGGTTCTACTGAGGAATCTCCGTCAAACCCAAAGAGTTCCGAAGACAAGAGTTCAGAATTCAAGAGTTCGAAATCCAAGAGTTCAGATGCTAAAAGTTTTGAGGCCAACAGTTCAGATGCTAAAAGCTCGGAAAAGACACCATCTTCCGAGGGACTATCAACAGGCCGATCCCCTAAGAAGAGTTTCACTAAATTCTCCGCACTGGCAGAGAAACCTAAAACGAAAACCTCTGCCAATGTGCCCGATTCAGAAGATAATGAGACTCAGAGTATGGCAGCTTCTACTGAGGTCGAACGTTGCGGTCCTGAACATTCTCATAGTTATCTTGAGCCATCCGGCATTAAGATATCTACTGCTGAAGCAAGAATTCTCGAGGATTTACTCCGAAAGACCCTCAGATACCTACCTGAGGAGCGAAGCACTGCTCTGGAATTATCGAAACACATTTGGTTCTCTGATATATCCAAAGAGACCGACTAAGGCTCGCACAAGTTGCATGTTCTGTAAGTTGTTTGAAACCCCATTCTACTTGCAGGATTGGCTACAGGGTTTGTGATACATATATCGCCCATTCGTCCTATCATTAACCTCACAAGACTTTTCGTTCTAGTTTCGTCTCATTTATTATTGCTTTTCGTTTCCTTCATTCAAAATTTCCCATTATGCACCAAGCTACATTATTTATCCACGGTGATCTGTAGGGGTGTGTCCTGGGTAACGACTACCGCTTTAAAACCGAACAAGACGGACTCCCGCACGGAGAAATCGATCCAAATTACTACAGACGTTTTCATCATGGCTTCCATCAAACGAATGGATCTTTGATTATCTTATTTTTGTGATTTGAAATGGAAAAAATTCCTTGTACAAATGTTTCTTTGTGGAGGAAAAGGCTTATGACCTACCTTCTATTACCAGAATAGAAGAGTAAAATTGTTCAAAGGCCCTTGCATACGCAGCCTATACTGATATATTTTATTTTCGGCACTTCTTTACTGGGTTGAAATTACTTGACTTGTATCTTTTCATTTTTCGCATTGCTATCTATTATTCTCTATCTCAAGTACTATCAAACATGTACAACGAATATCGTTTGGTGCTATATAGCCGGCAACATAAGAAGATAAACTGAAGATTTCCGCGACTGAAGGAAAAAGTTTGCTATGTGGGAGATCTTTCCTTCCGTTTCTAGTTATTGAGTCTTCTAGGCTGGGTCTAGCTAGTAACACAACTCACACTTCTGCATGTTGATTGTCACAATTCGTTTAACAACATTTGAAATTTGATCTTTCAGTGAAGAAATGGTACCCTCTGCTATTCGACATATGTTTAAATGAAAACCTTGAAGGAAACAATGTGCAATCAAGCTCTGGTAACTGCTGTCTATACTATACCGTTATATCAAAAGCACAGCGAGAAACCCATCTGCTCCCGCGATTACACAACCACGAAGCCAGCTTCCACTAACACTCTCACCCCACGTTTTGAACTAGCTGCAAGTTCGATCCTGAATTGCTATCAAGATGCACCAATATAGATATTTGGATCGTGGCTAGTGACAAGAGATAACTGCTATCAGTACATCTTCAAATCCCCTCCGCCCTCTTTCCTCTTTCCTCTCATACATACCCACCTGTAAATTTTCCATTTCGACTATCTACAATATGAATCTAGGAATTTCCCAGCGTAATATCCTCGCGTAAATAAAAGGTCGCGACTTATCTGAGTTACTTGGCTCTATATCACTATCCCAAATCTCAAAGAAGCAATTAAGTTTCAATACGGATTCTCCAGGTTTCCCACTAATTCCTCCCTGTCTGTGTAACTAATAATTTATTTTGGGTACTTTGACTCATTACCACCTCACCTTTCTCTTTCCTCTTTCCTCTTTCCTCTTTCCTCTTTCCTCTTCATTTCATCACTTACTGCGATTTCAGTAACACTAAGCTTTCTCCACTTTCCTTTCAGAAAGCCTAAAATGTTTATAAAACATCTACCTATTCATCGTTATATCCAACCATGAATCCATCTCTCTACTCCCATTTCTCAAGCGCCATACTCAGAATAGGAAGAGCAAATCACGCGCAAGAATTAACCCTTCAATTGATGGTCATTCAACCACTAACCAACCCATAGATTAACAAGATGTGGGAAGAGAGTAAAGATCTAATTCCATTCCATTCTATATTTTCAAGAAATGATCCAAATAGCTATTTCAAATGCACTTGATAATTCCACGCGCCCCGTATTCCTCGCCGTGCATTTCCACGTCTATTAACTAACACACAAATAAGCCAGTCTAGAAAAGAAGATCCAAGAAATGCACCGCTTGATGTAGGCAGGCAGACAGGCAGAAGAGCTATGCTAACCAGCGCTCGCTTAACAATCATCTAATTTCAAATTTCACTTTCATTCCCTCCACCCCCCTCGCTTCCTCGTCTCTCACGGCTAATTACCATTCAACAGCCCATCCATTCTCTTCCAAAAACTCTTCGATTGCATGTTTCAATCCCAGATTGGGTCTTAGATCACTTGGGAGCAAGGGTTCTCTTGTTAGGGGATCGGTGCAGCTTCTTTCGAGATGTTGGAGGATACTTGTGCGTTCGTAGGATTGGCCTGTTTTGGTCTGTGGGGGAGGCGAGTTAGTATCTTTCCGACAGTGATGATAAATAGGGTCGATGAAGGGACTCTCAGGCAAGGATATAGAATACGGAAGATGAAAAAAAAAGCATACCACAACAGGATCGATCATAACATTAAAACTGATCCCGTCAATTGCCCAATCGGGCATTTCTCTCCTCCTCCCTTCCTTTCCTTGCGTTTCCACAAGTCTAAATACCCTCTCTACCTCTTCAATCTTTTTCTCCCATTCTTCTGTGATTACTTTAGTATCGAGATCCATCGCATCCCCATCACACCTTTCCTTTCTTCCCCCATCCCTCTCCATCTCCCTCCTCATCAACCCCGTCACCTCTCCCAACAAATAGCCTCTATCTCTCCTCCTCCTCTCCTCCTTCTTCTCCCACCCCTCTTTCCTACACCTTAGTCCCAGCTCTAAGATAAGCGGTAAACTCTTCCCGCTCCCCACTAGTCCTTTTCCTCCGATCGGCATATCCTTTATACAATGTTCCCTCGCCATTTCCGCCGCTTTGAGCGCGGAATCATAGTCGCGTAGTGCGTGGTATGCTTGTGCGATGTTATAATAGGCTTTCATGTATACGCTATTTATGGGAGCGGAGGAGATAGCTGCGATGGCGGATTCTGAGGAGGCGATTGCTTCGGGGTAGCGGGAAAGTTTGAGGAGAGCTTTGGACTGGTTCGTGTGGAGAATCGGATTGAGAGGGTCGAGGGAGATGCTGGGGAGTGGCGTGTTAGATGGGGTTATCTGACATGATAAGGTTGGGTATATGGACAATGAGGGGTAGGAAGCAGAAGGGATGAGGGAGTGCGCAAGACTAGGGAAATCGATCAAGAATATAGACTAACGCTTTGCTATAAAATTGTTCAGCAGCCTCATAGTTTTTGTTTTGAAAATGATCATTTCCCTTGTTCTTAAATTCGAGAGCTTTTTTGGGATCGTGAGGTAGATCGGTTCCTGCCATGATGCCACTTTACGGCGGAGACAATGATTGGACCGACTGTGAGTTTGAGAGTCTGCGACTAAAGCGATGTAGACCTAGAATGTATAGATACTAGGCCGTCCAGTTTATTCATCTAGAAGATGTTTTTCGATATGCCGGTGTAGATTATTTGTTTGCGTTAATTGATTATGGGGGTTGATTTCAGCCTCGTTGCACAAGAGGGGTGTGCTGTTAAGGATATTATTGAAACGTAGTCTGAAAGGAACGAATTTGTACTGAAGGATCGTATTACGAGCAAATTTAATGATATTAATTTATTAGGATAAGAAGGAAAAGTAGGTTGTGCACGATGAGTGTTGGCATTGAATATTATTGGAGATGGTAAATGTCAGCCTTGCGAGAGCTTGGATTGGTAATTCCAAATTTGGAAGGTTCGAGAACTTCGAGAACAGCCTTGCTATAAACTTCTAGAGCTACCTGGAAATCGACTTCTTATATAATTTTGGGCGGTAAATGCTACATGTAAATGGCATAGAAATATGGCGAGGGTGAGTGTGAATGTGAAGTCTAATTCAGATAATCTTTTGTACAATTCGATATTTTGTCCACCATGCACTTCTTCTTGTCTTCACTCCATCCTCCCAACCCTGGACCAGCGACACAAACTTTAAAAAGGCTAGAAGAAAACAATGTCAGCTTGCAGCCGAATAAATGATATGTAACTGGCGTGGAGAGTTTGTTCTGGTCAAGAACTCGGTTCAGAAAAGGAGTCTGGACGGAAGCAACCGATGTACACTTGTGACATCGGCTTCTTGACGTTATAGATAGCAATTTTATAGCCCAATGATTTGCCATGTTCAGATCTTCCTTCTCCTAGCCTAAGAACCAACCGCCAATTCCAGTAATGTCAAACAAATAAAAATAACGTACGTTGTCAGATGCAGGGACTTCCTTTCTCCAGCGGTCACCAATAATTGGGATTTTCTGTTTAATTATAAGCCAAGATATTGTAATATACCATAGTACGCCAACTTACAACCATGATATCGTTTCGTACTCTAGGGATGTCGGAGAAGAAGAAAAGAGCGAAGAATCCAGCGGTAGCACCAAATCCTGCTAAAGTAAGGCCACTGCATGCCAATATTAGCCAGGTTCCCAACTCAATTCTGCCATTCATAAGTATAGCATGAAATGTATCGTCTAAATGTATAGTATCGTAGTTCCAGACTTCACACGGCCCGGCGTAGAAATATCGTGGCAGTTCAAAAAAAAATCTACATACACCTTGGAAGCTGCCTTTGGGGTCCATCCGGCGATGTTTGGTTGAATCTTGTATCTGCGGGTCCATCAGTCTCTGTTTCTTCCTTGAAAAATGGCGCATCGTACTTAGGTCCATAGGGAGACTTGTATGTCGAGTATGAGACAGGTCCCTTTGGAGGAGTGATACCTGTGGAAACGTGGAACTGAAATCGCAAATTTTGTCAGCAAAATGTGCGGAGGGGGTGGCACTGGCAGGAGGCACTCACATCGCCGTTGCTGCCCATTTTGAAGAGGAGGATGTGTGGTTGGTAATTCAATGCTAATCTTGAGGTCGACGATATATTCGTTATTGAGAATGTTAGTCGGCGGTAGCCGGAAGATTTATTGTTAGCCTCAGGCATTTTTACATAATCATTTTCAGCATCGAGATTTCAGAACCGTCCTCGATTCAATTTTTCAGAACATTTCAAGAGATATGGTTACATTTAGCGTTGTATTTACTCATCTATTCATTTTTACCATTATTAGAGATCAGATGTTTTAAAATGGCTCGAATCTATTCTAATGTTGCATTCCGTGCTTCATTTTATATTCCCAAGTGGGCGATACCTCAATTCTTGCACGTTTACTGCTGCTTTTCTCCTATCTAAACAAGCGAACTTTTCCCTAGTATCAGAAATGTCTTGAGACTTGCTCCCAAAAACACACTAGCCAACGCTGAAATGTTCGAACAAGAGATTTCCCATACACATACCAATATCCGTCTCCTTGCTACTCAGTCGCCCCCCCCCCCGCCATCCTTTTCCAGGAATCCAAAGGTTTTACGATGGATTTTTGGGGGGGACGTATCAGGGTCATATGTTTTGATGGGAGTTAACTGGTGTACTTTGGCCCTGGTGTCCATGAATCATTGCTTATATTGACTCGGGGTCTCCTCCGTAAGCATTTCGTGAACATTAAAAGTCATCTGCAACTTCTATTCGGACTGTTTTTTGTTACATTTTCATGTGATAGTTCAGCCAATTTAGCTGCGGAGACTATTCTTCACAATACTTCTTCCCATTACCACTGACCCTTTCGTCCGATAAACAAACTTTTACCCCTTCAATAGAACTTCCGTGTGCCTTATTTTGCCGCGAAGCTTACCTAGGTATTAAACGTGCATTTTGACGTTCTGCGTTGGCCGAATTCTATCATCTGAAAGTAGAATGAATACCTACCGGTAGTACTTTTGATGGATGGCATTGTTTCGCCGCTTCCTCATGCTCGGGTCTATGATTGTTGAAAGAAAACCCTTTTCACAATCTCATTGTTCTTTCATTACACTTCATGCAGAGTTGTGCTCGTAACCACTCTACGGTCCTTTTTGCTGTACAACGAATTTAAGGTTAAGATATATTGTCAACTAAAATGATAAACTAATAACATTTCTCCTAATAAATATTTTGACTTCTACTACCTACGTACCTGACTTTTCAAATCAGCGGCTTTTAATTCGTCCCCGCGTTATTACTTTTTATGTCATAAGTAAACGTCTAATCGTCCCGCATAATCTCCATGCATCCGATCGAACGAAACCTATTCCGCTTATTTCCGACATCGATCATTTTCTGCATCAGGAAAGAGTAATTTACGATTTAGATATTCACGAAATTCAAAAGTCTGTGCAGTATAAACATATTTACCGTTGGACAGCAGTCGATGCTACGAGTAGACAAGAAACCAATCATCCCGTGTTCCCCTCATTTTCTCTTTGGTATTCCATCTTCCACTCCTTGACAAGATAACGAGGGTCTGACATTTAATTCCTATTCAATTTCGTGACTTAAGCCATAAACACAGCCAAACAAGGAATACCAGGAAGGAAGTGCAAGAGCCGAGTACACCCGAGGTTCAATCACAACACCAAAAAACAGTAAGGTCGACCTTGATCAAATATACTTTAATTCATCGAAATCACCCGCGAGGATTAGCATTTACCATCGAATTTTACAGCAATTTTACTTCTACAACGAACCTACCAACACATCTGCCACTTCATCGATTATACACACGATTCAGAACAGGAAGGGAATCCACTAAAAACCACCTTGAGACATATCCGCTTGGACGGATCTAATGTACTTGAGCGGGTCACTACATCAACAGCAGCCGCCTCCATACATTATATCGTCCCACGATTTTCCTCCACGCATGAAATACATGATCCACAATCTTCCATCTGATATCTCTCAATACCAATAGCGTTGAACTCCTCAAAGGTCAAGCAATAACAAGACAGCCACCCACCGGTCTATAAATACTCATAGATCATACGGCACACAACGACCTTGAATCGTCAACATCAACATCAACATCACACAACCCATCTCATCCAGAATGCCACCTCCAGCCCAACAATCCCGTCCCTTTCTCTCAACTTTCCTCGCCTCCTTCCGCTCCTCCCAACTCTCCTCTACTCCCATCATAAGCAACAATAGCTCTTCCTCGCACCAAAAACCTGCTCACTCACATTCACATTCGCAATCCACACCTTCACAACCGCGCCAAATAAGTACCAGCACCAAGTCGAACGCTACATCAAGTGCTCTAAGAGGAATCGATCGAAATCGTGGAACGAACGGCGGAAGTAGTCCTGTAGGAAGCTACGATTCGAGTCCTAGCCCCGCTGCCTCGAGTTATCTGAATCAAAATCAAAATGCAAATGCGAACTCAAATATATCGAATCCCACATCTCCAACCTCAAGTTCGAATCAGATCTCAAATCAAAATGCACCATACCACACAAACAAATATGCAGGCTTTAAAACATCAGCAGATAGGAGAGGAAGCGATAGTAGCTCAGAAGGCTTTCGAGATGTAATAGGGAAGGAAAAATGGTATATTGGGGGACGCACGCAGGGCGGAGAGGAGAGATACTTTCAGCTCGGAGTGATAAAAAGGAGAAGGAGTGGAGGGGAGATGAGTTTGGATCGATTGAGTTTGTGATGGAGTGTGATGTGAGATAAGGAAAGGAAATGGGTATAGCATAAATATCCCAACATAATGCCGCTCAAGGTGTCGATTTCCGAAGATAATTCATCATTCAAAGTAGACTCAGTCACTTGGATGATTTGAACGTTCGAAATGGATGCAACAAGAGATACCTCTTGTTAGTTTACAGTCTGGACGATAAGGAATCTCGTGCGTAACTGTGTATCTTGTTCAGTGAAGCAACGGGCGAATGCATCGGGGATTTGGAAATAAGAATGTTAAAACACCATACGAAGACGGCGTATACTCCAGTGCCCCAAGAAGATTGAGAATAGGGCTACTGCTCATGAACGGGCGTTGGTGATGGGATACGGAAGGGGTGTTGGATTATTGGAACCGGATTGGTTACACTATATTACATCATATTATAAACATATGGAACAGAACTGAATATGGGGGATTGGGGCGTTGGTAGTATTATATCAGAATGGAACTTGCAAGACTCCAACCAGATAAATAAATAGGAACGAAATGAAAAAATAATAATGAATCAATACTCTATGTGAATTGGCTGGGAAGTGAGTTAGTAAGTGAGTGGGCGGGTGGGCGCAGGAAATCAGGAAAGGTGGGCATGATATTGTGAAGCAGTGAGATGAGTGAGATGATACAGAATAGAAATATGTCCTTCAAGGTTTATCTATATCTTATCTTACAACTATATGAACATGCTCCACGACAACAACATACATTCGCGCCCTAAATCGCTAACTGATTACATCCCATAACAACCCGATTTATTCTTGAATCCCTCTCCCAACGGATCTTTTAAACTCCTCAAACTTTTCTCCTCCAGCTTCCACACCCCTAAGCCTCAAAAACCATCCACCCCTTAAAAACATATCTACCACATAAACCTCTGCACTCTCCCCGGTTCTTGCGTCCACTCAAAGCCTCGATACAAGAATATATACCCCGTAACCCCGTTGATCAATAGATACCATATCGTCTCGGCGTATAAACGGATATTGATCTTGGGAGAGGCGGAAATTGTGAGGGTGGGGAAATGTAAACGCAGGAATATGAAAGGGAGGATGAAGTAGCGGGGTTCGACGAGGGGGGCGGTGATGAGGGAGAGGGCGGTGGTGAGGAGGAGGAGGAAGAGTGTTGAGAGGGGGGTGGTGGGGAGGAGTGAGGAGGAGGTTGGGATGGGAGTCGATGAGGGGTTGTGGGGTTTGCTGGGTGCGTCTTTCTGGGGTGGTGATGTATATTCGGATGAAGATCCAGAGAGGGTTTTGAAGATTAGAAAGAAACAGAAAATGTAGATGGGTGCGAGGAGGTAGCGGATGAGAGGATGTCGGAGGATGCTGTATCGGAATACGTAGAAGATGTAGTGTCGATTGTCGGCGAGGGTGAATGGATGGATTATGGTGTTGTATTTTATGATTACGAGGGAGCCGAGGAGAGATGCCAGGATGAGACTGAAGGTTATGAGGGCCCGGATTTGCGTGTGGAGAGAGGAAGTCAGAAATTTGGATGGATGGAGGGTATTGTCGATTGAGTTCAGGAGGAATGAGAAGAGAGCCGGGATGAGTAGTGGAAATGAGAAGAAGGCAATAAAGGGCCAGAGATACAGGAGTTGTGAGAGGTGAATGGTAGCGACGTGGTTTGATTTATCGCCTAGGACAACACCGCCATTGATGAAGACAAAAGCGCCAAATGTAATTAGAAGTGAGATGTGAGGAAATAATTGGAGAAGGATAGTCGGGAGGCGGGTTATGGCGGTCCAAATGATTGAAAGGGGTGTGAGGATGAAATCTGAAGGTTATTAGCTCTTGTTAACAGGGTGAAATTTTGAACTGGCGGGGAAATCTGAATGGAATTGGAATTACCTTCGAGACTAGCAGCATGTAGAGGTGGATCATGTGGATGCTCCGATTTTATAAGCTCACCAACCTCTTTCAGATACTCCTCCATTGACGATGCGTGGAGGTGTCTCAGAGACGAAGCAGCAGGACTATACGTGCCTTTCAGCGTCCTCACAGCTTCCATCCCCCCTAAGAATATGGCAGCCCAGAAGATATTCGTCTGTCTCATACAAAGAGCAAATACACCACAGAGGTAAAACCATGCACCACTTTTCCACGATTTGTGAATCTTCTTAGATTCTGCTTGCTCAAGGAATTGCTTGTACAGGTAAAAAACTACACAAGTAGACAGCACGTCCGTGTAATACAACCCCGAGAAGAAAAATAGAGGAGGAAATAAGGCAATATTTGCTGCTGTATGTAATAAATCTGCAGATCTCAACTCAGGAACTTGATCTGTGGGGTTTTCGACCCCGGCTCGAATAATGAGATTCCGACATTTCCAGGCAAGCATCATAATTGATGTGAGGGCAATGACATTTGTTGTCCGAAGAAAATGTACATTGCATGTTGTGAATCCAGAGACTATGCTCAAGAAATGACTCGACCAATATCTAGTTTCTGGTCAGTGATGTTTAGGATAACATATTGTCTGAACGAAGATCATACAGTCCAGGTGGTGTAGTAAGTTTTGGATCCCAAGTACCATAGTCCCATCTACAGTATGCTTGAGCTTGTGGTATATGGAATACTTCATCCTGGATAATATGAGCCAGTGCATCAAATTGAGGTCCAAATGAAGAGAACTATACCAAATAAGGTTCGGGAACATTCTTAGTCACCTGATATTCCCAGAACCCGGCAAGAGAAGCCACAGTCAATGGAACGGCAAGAGCGGTCTTGCGGCCTAGTCCTCTCCGTGAACTTGGGTCTGAACTGCCTACGGCAGCGAGAAATCCCACGAGGAGAGTGGAGATAGCACCGGCCATGAGGACACCTTTTGGCGTTTGCGAGATGTGGCTTTAATTTATCTTATGAAGACGGTGAAGTCCTTGGTATCATAATTGAAATTTGATTATCTGGCCAGATATGATTAGCATACTATGGAAATGGGTATGATATGAAACTCACGAAAATATTGGTTGTCGTAAGAAATAAAAATAACGATGATTTTGGACCCTAAAACTGTTAAAACAACCTGGTTGGAATGGATGATCCATATTCAAACCGTGGCAGTGCAAGTGTGGCTGAACAGCCCACCTCCACATCCATGGACGAAACGTTTTGCACACCATTTGTCTTCTCTAATCATGAATGTTTAGAATGCATTAACAACATCTATCTACTGCGAGTATTCAAGTAAAACAACGGTATTTAATCCAACCTGTAAACCCAGAAAGCCCAGTGGCATTCAATCTCGCGTTCCCATTATGTCTATTTCATGTTTGAGCTGCATTCCATCACCAATTCATCGCCTTCGTGCCCGTTGCCGCATAGTTCTTCAGATATCTCAAGCTCAATACCAAGTTCCTGTATCGCTTGCCCAGTGCATCTATTATCCAAAAACAAAGATCCATCCTATTGACATGACCACCGAGAAGATCGCTGTCTTGATCCAGCATAGCGTCCTGGAATTTGGTGGATAGTCCAAGGATAGTCATTTCCTTTCTTGCATCGACTTTTGTTTGCTTCGCAATGGCCAATTGGTCCATTCTCGTTTGAACTGTGGAAATTGCATAGCTATATGCAGAGGGTCAGTATATTCCTGAGGTTTTTTCGCAATGAAATACTCACTCGATAAGAGTAGGATCCCGATCATCACACGCCATCAGTTTCCTAGGTCTGGAGTTCTCTTTCCAAGAGTCAAATACTTTCCCCGCTGCCTCGTTCGTCCAACCAATATTCAACAGAGCAGCCATACATAGCGTGCTCTCTGGAAGTATGATGGGTGGAAGGGCGGACGCATCAACCGGTACGATGACAACGAAAGATTGGATTGATCCTTTCTTTGCTCGCATTGAGCCTTCTGGGACTTCTTTTTGCTTCTCACAATAGCTCATACCTATTTGAAACAGACTTGTTAATTGGCGTGCACGATTTTGCGCATGTATTCAGGGTAGCTTACTTAAAAACCCCGGGTTAATTTTCCATTGTCCTCCAAATTCATTTCCCAAGATAATTTGCTTCTGTCTTAGAAATACTACTTCTTCGCCGCTAAGGCTAAAAGATGGAACCCCATCCTCATAGGGAGGAAGATGCATATAATCCCACATAGACATGGTCGCCACAAATAGAAGTTTTGGTTGTAAAAGTTGTCTCAAATCCCGGAGATTGGAATCTAGAAAGGAGCAGACTCTTCAACTAGGTGATTGAAGGGATTGCACTTGCCTAAGATGGGCTTCCAAACATTAAGTTTGGTCACCATCTCCTTCTTCTTCTGAGCTCATATTCTAGTTTGAGGCTTTCAACAGTTCGGATTGAGGTATCTAGGTGCAACTTCAAGGAAAACACGTTAGTAATAAAGACAACAGATACTGTATTCGTACGATGAATAATCATTCAATGCCTTGATGAGATTAAATGCCTTCATGCAACACAAAGTCACTATTTAAAATTACCTTGTCGATCTATCAGCTCCTTACGTTCTAAATCTTACAAGTTTTTCTGAGCTTTGGCGACCTGAGAGTTGAGGAGGATTGAAAATCCTGACTCTCTGGAGCGAAAGCTGGTTAAAAACGATGAGGTAAGAGTGTTTTTGGTGATGAGCATTTGATTGTTTTCCATTTTTGCTTCAGGTTGAAAACCGAGGTAGGAGGGGTCAGCCAGCGAACGGTACTATCATCTCATTGGCATGGGTCCAGACGAGATTTGCTGCACATCGCGGGACCCTGTAACGTTTTGGGCACTAATATAAGATCCTATACGTCGCTCTTCCCTTGGCGTTCTGCTTATTGTAAAGTCAAATGATATGTGGGATTTGTTGCACATCGTGGACCCCTACAAGCTTTTTATTTGATGTTTGTCTAAGTGCTAGGGATTGTTAGTATCACTCGGCTGTCTATAGCGCATAGTTTATCATACCCTTCTCATACTCTAACAATCTGGTAGCTTCACAAAATGTTTAAGCAAGTACCTTCCAGCACTCGAGATGAGAACACCTCAGCTATAGTTCCTGATTTTGATGGACCAAGGTAGAACGTTCCAAAGTTTATTGAGTACTGAATGAATTGCACAATATTAACAAAATAATGATGCAGATTCAATATCCCCCAGCAGAAGCGGCAAACAATAGTTGTGATATATAATGGCGGTCTCCACAGCGCCAGAAAATAAGATTTTTCAGAGCGGAGAATCTCATTCTGAGTCGATTAATCTGTCGACCAGCACTGTGGGGACAAGCATCCTCTTTCTCGTTCTGCAAGTGTATTGAGTCCTCCAAGTACTACGGAGTTCGGATCCGCTTCGGTGATGTTAGCAAGATATGAATTGTGTGGTGTTGAGTCGGAACTTACTTGTATCTATACATGTCGATACAAATGAGAAAGTCTCCACGGCATCAAATTGTGACGAATCGATGTTTCTCTGGTGCCGCAAGAACGATCCCAATCGCCATCACCATCACTTCTGGGACCGAGTTTTAGATGCAGCAAAGCACAGATTAATAGCGAGTTCGATAAAACGCAAACCTTACTAGTGCTGGTGATTTTTACTGACTCAATATATGATGACTTACAAGCCGAATATTCTCCAAGGCCGCTTTCGTGAAGAGAGCCATCTAATGGGAAGTGCATCTTGTATCCTCGGAAGCTATTTTGCATCAGCAGAAGTTAGAATATTACCCCGTCGGTGATCTTACCGCGAACTTGCTGGCACGAGGAACTTGCAGGAGTCTGACTGCGAGCTTCGCCGACTCCATTATAGGTAGCTTCAAGAGCGCATCGCGGCTGACAGAGCCAACGAATTTTTCTCCTTGACCGAAAGGTCTGGGCAATCTTGTGAAACTCTGTTGTGCTGAAAATAGAACATTGCAATTAGTTGAGCAGTGTTGGTTCACTTGAAATTAGAATTTTCTAAAGAAGAAACTGACAAGAGAAAGAATCTTGATATTCTGATGGAGTAAGAAAATGATCGAAGGCTTGAGCCTATAACAGTTTTGGAGAAAATTTGAATAAAGATTTAAATTTGTGTGAGTGTGTTTCTTTGGTTTCGGAAGGAATCCTTTTCTTGTTACAAAGGCAATCTCTGAACTTGACAGATTGATGGGAAGAGGATTTGGATAGGGCTCATATTTATCTGCGCCTTTATTCACAGGTGATGAGCTCCTCTTCTTCCCTACCTCCGAAGTATAATTAAGATCTTGTTTAACCTTCTGCCTATCTTTCTGCTCTAGGATATCCTTCTTCCCAAATGCATCAGCCACATCCAAAGCAGATGTTCCTTTTCAATCCTCTTGAATCAACGCAGTACAACCTTTCTCGTCCCTTTTCCTCCAGCGTTACACCGGACAATAAAATTTATTCGTCAAATTTCATCATTTCTTCCTTGGTATATTTATTCAACAAAAACAAACAACGCCTTTTCGTCTCCATGTCTGTATAGTACTGAAGCATAACTTTGAAAGTTCCAATGCTATAATTCTTGGAATTTGCTACACGCTCAATGATCGACAAGCGTTTCACAGGGTGAACGTCACATCTGGCGCCATTTCTGGCCAAGAATTGAATAGTGGTGTCAAAACTATCGGTATCTCTGGTTGTAAATCTGTATGCGAACAAGGCCTCAAGACATGATTAAGCATCTGTAGAAATGGCACTGTAATTGTCGTAAGTCAATTAGCAAACTCTGAGTATCAATTAGATTACGAAACTGAATTCTGATATGATACGGCATGACGGAGGGGTAATAACAAATACTAGACTTACGAAACATCGGCTCCATGATGGATGAGTAGCTTTAGTAATTCCACATCTTTAGTTCGGGCTAAAACATTTTATATTGAGCCATGCCCTTTTTCATCCTTCATCGTCGCATTGGACCCTGCGTTCAGGAAACACAACCAAAGAGGAGTATGTCCATTTCTGTCTTTTGCCTCAAGATTTGCTCCATACTTTATGAGCAAGTTGAGGATTTGCTCTCTAGCATGAACTAGATTGTTGTCACTCCAGCTTTCTGCAAGAACATGTAATGCTGTGCTCTGAAAATGCTTTCTATCTTGAGGTTTTGCAGAATGCTGTCGACGATCAAGCATTCGTGGTCCGGAAAAAGCATTTGGATCTGCATCCCGAATCAATATTTGCTCCACACAACTTGGATTCCCACCCATGGTTGCAGCGTAAAGCATAGTAGTACCTCTGTATACACAACTTATCGAGACATTAGTGTTGGTAAGTATGGCTCGTACCGCTTCCGCGTTTCCATTTATTCAACATCGCCACAATGCCTCCTCGACGCCTCGCGTTTCGAGGAAAAGTACAGTCACAAGTATAGTTTAATCAGGCCTAGAATTATCATCGGTCCTTCTGGTCGGATTCACACCAGCTTTCAGTAAAGCCAGTACTATGGGAGCGAAATTTCTGCAAGCAGCTTCGTGAATGGGCCTCAGGTGAGAATCATCTTCATTGTCGAGTATGGTACGATACTGTAGTAAAAGCTCAAATATTCTGAGATGACCAGGTTGACAAGCCCAATGTAGTAGAGTACGGCCTCCAGGATCTTTGGAGTTGATATCCTCAGTTTTAGATAAGAGTAATTTCAAACAGCTGCTCATTCCGCTGAACGCAGCCACATGCCCTGGCGATGGTACTAACGAATCTTTCGTGATAAATCGAATGCCCCAATCAAGTGTTAGCCACCTTCTAAAGTCTATGTCTTCCGGATCTGAAAATGCTGATACTGCATCGAAAACAGACTCGTCCTCAATTTCATAATTATTTCCATGATAGGTCCAATTTCAGATGGCATAGTCAAGGAAAGGGTGATCAAGCTTTGCTTTCCGAAAACCGATGCTGTGAAGGGTGGCTATTAACCAATCACAGCAACACTCATCATGTCCACGATTACACCTTGAGCAATTTACTCGTGAAACATCGTTCGATATATTAACGACGTTAGTGAGTGTACCTGACTGCATGTAAGCTAAACAATTAAGAACCAGGCGTTTATGCGCAGAGTTCTGATCGACAGCAGGGAAGTGAGGAAACGACCCAGAAGGATTGTGCTGAGCTCGATTGAAATCTAGAAGAAACTCGGTGCACGAGTGATGGATGACTTGAACCGTTTCGTCATTCATAATCTCAAGTCAGGGACCGCAAGCCGACTTTACAATGGTCTTGGCACTGGACAAATGGTATGATGGGTAAACAAATGCGAATAGATCTGCAATCTCGTTGAGACGAAGAAGTCGAGAAGAAAATATCACTGCGTTAAGAATGAATTGTTGAAGGTTTGTGTCGATGCCGATGGATTTAGACTGTTGGAGAAGGATGCTGTTGAACATCTCCTGCATGCCGACAGGGAGAGTACTGGCAATATCTTCGGAATCCAAATGTTGTTTTGAAACCAGAGCTGGCATTAGCGATTCTAAAAACAGGCGAGCGCACAGGAAGAGTCCGGCAGATCTATCACATATGATTGAACGTAATGATAGTTGTGTATCTGGATTATTTCTTTCAAACATGCTTTCTAAACGGCGAGAGACAAAAAGATCTATGTCTTTGCGAACTTGATCGTCTTCGAGACTAATATGAACGATAGAAGCATCCTCCAGCTTAAGTTGCAATTGTTGAACTGGGCGACTTGTCATAAGAGTTTTGACGTACTGTGGCCGGAATGTCGCTAGATTGTTGAGTCTTTGTAAGAAATCCTTCTCTTCTCCGATATAAATCTCTTCCAAGGCATCAACGACGCAGTAGACCTTTTCAACTGAAGACAGACTGTCGGGATATCGATCATGTGATCTAAGAGGGCACTGTATTGCAACTAGCGTATGTACTAGCGTATGCACTAGCGCTAGCACTTCTACTATATTAAGTACTAGCTTCCCATAGTAATAATGATGAAGAACGAATAAAACACAATAGACTAAAGTACTATACACTTTATCAACCCCAAGTTGATACCAACACAGACCAAGGAGTAGATAGTCCCATAGTTGCCCATTCGAGAAGTCCTCCAATTTCATGTCCACAATGGCGTTTAGGGCCACCTGGAGACCAACGCTATGTCGTAAGAGCTGCGCCAGCCAATCACAAACGAGATTTCGTGATCTTCGATTCGATTCAATTATATGACGGAAAAAATATTGAGGAGTGTCACAAACCCAAATACCGGTTTCAGGGGCTCGTGAAGCTATATGTCGATTGAATTCGCTAAAGTCATTAAGGTAATCCGTGGGTTCGAGCCATGCCTCAATTTTCCTCAGCTCTTCGTGATTTATAGGAGATTTTGACTGCTCGATAATCTCAACGTCTTCCGAATCTAAATTGACTGAATTTCCTGAGCTCATTGTGAAATTGAGCTGCTAGAATAATTTAAGAAAGTTGGTACGTATTATATAATTCTACATTGACGGCGGGCCCCTGTAGGCATTCACGCTGCCGAATGTGTGATTCCACTTTGAACAATGATTTAATGAGATGCATGTTCTATGTTTTTCATGCAAAGGACTCTAAAGTAATGAGTGGCTTACATAAAAGAGAACAGACATAACATAAATGATACAAGTCATCAGGACAAAAGCTGATCGAGCATACAATGGAGGAGACGTGTACAGACTGACTGGTAATTTGATGGACCTTGATTATATAAACACGGGTGCGTTTCTTGCCATGTTCGATTAACCGCCTTCGAACGTCTCGCTAAGAGAAAAAAAATTGCCGGCGCTTTGGCTATATATTTTACCCCTCCCCTTCATTTATCCTGCTAGGCAAAACCAGTGTAGGCAATAGTATACTACAGTAAAACTATAGCATATATTAGCATATTGATATTGCAACTAGTATGTATAGAAAGAAGGTTATACCATTCTCATACATATTTATATACCTAAAAAATACTAGCAATATATTGAAATACTAGAATCTAATACAAAATATATATATTTCTATCCTAATTAAATTAGAAATAAGGGATTCCTATTCAATTTGAAATAAGGAATGTAATTTTATTATCTAATATAAATAGAAATCCCTTTTTCCTAATCTAATTTGGATAGAAATAAATATTTTATAATGAATTCCAGTATTTCAGTATATTGCTAGTAGTACTGAACAAATAAATGATATTAAATATTTTTAATAGTATTGAATTCTATACTATATACAGATATATTTCGGAAAGAATTGATATATACTACTAAACTAACCTATATACGGATTACGGGAAATACTATTGCCGACACTGGGCAAACCCAAAAGGGCTCAAGCAAAACTGTATGGGAAGTTTCAAAAACATCAAAAGATGAATGAAGTTGTATGGACTCAGGATCACAAGTGGCTTTCTGACGGGGAGTCGAAAGGCCATCAAAGATTGCTGATTTGTTGGGAATCCAGGTTTTCTTACAAAATATACTCTAACAAACTATGGGGTGGAAGAGGTACAATGGTCACAGTGAGGGCTTTCGTGCGCTAGAATATAAAATTATGGGTAAATCAGTGACCGGCGTGGAGGATTGGATAAGAGGAATGACGCTAGAGCCACATACACAGAGGAAGGCAGGTTAATGGAAGTTCGATATGCCAGATTATAACAAGCCGAGAGCTCTAATCAGTGTTTCTTTTGTTGTGCTGACGCCATCTGTTTTGGCACTACGAGATTTGTGAAAGGGATACTGACGGATTCGCAGCGATTCAAACACAACCACCCAGTACCCAACGAGAGCTATTCACACCTCAGACCTCTCACTTTAACGAGACTAAGAAACGAGATAGGTGAAAGGCTGATGAATGTAGGAGTAAAGCACCCAATCTAATGATAGACATGTATTACATTAGAAGACGCTTCTAGTAAGAGTAAACCTCACCAAAATAATCAAAGTATCAAAAGATACAAAAATACAGGAAAGAGTTTTGATGGTTTTGGATTCGATATAAAAAAGAGGAAGAGGAAGAGGAAGAGGAAGAGGAAGAGGAAGAGGAAGAGGAAGAGGAAGAGGAAGAGGAAGAGGAAGAGGAAGAGGAAGAGGAAGAGGAAGAATTGAATCACATCTCACTTTTCCTACAATCAGTTGCAACGAGACAAATAGAGTGAACAGCTGTTATATAATTTCGGTAAAGAGTGGTTAGGTGGACATAAGAAGTCAGCAGGTTCCCCGCTGCAGTTAGGAGATAGACATTCCCAGCCAAATAAATAAATGGCTGATTGAATCGCTACTTCTTCAATCCTCTATTTTCCTTCATTTTCCCTCAAGTTTTTTTTAACACCATCTTCCAATCCTAGCCTTTGTTTATGTCCTCTCAGACCTTTCACTTAAGCTCCGGAGTAGAATCCGTAACTCAGAAAGTCGACATTTGCAACACAGCTTCCAACTGAAGCAGTTCCATACTGGGAACTGTCACCTCCTTGGTTGAGACCAGTATAAAAGGTGACGTGGTAGTTTGGGGACAAGCTCAAGATCTTGATGCTGTGTTGAGTGGCGCCAAAATTGCCTTTCGTAGTAGCAGCTCCATCAGTAAAGATAACGGCACCACCACCACAAGCTGTCATTCAAGAGTTAGTTAGGGTAATAAGGAGGAAATTATTGTGAGATCGACATACAAGAATCAGTGTAGACTGCGAATTGAGTACTGCCTCTCTTCTCGAGAATCATGGCAGCATTAGCTTCGGCATCAGCGACAGGGAGAGCTGGTACAACAGCAGCCAAGATGGCGGTGATGATGCTGGTAGTGTAAATGAACTTCATTTTGAAATTAATTGTTGGTATAAATATATATGAGGGTTTCCTTCTTGTGGGAGGCTTGATCGATTGAAGATGTGTAGATGTGATGTTCTGCTGGTGAAGTGATTCTCTAGAGGGGGGCATCCATGATCTCTTTATAGAATTTCTGAAGATTAGAGCAAGGATGCTTTCGCAGTCGGGTTATTAAATGAGGGGTCTTGACGATTTGCAATCTTGCTTTCAACCTCGTTCCTGCAATCTGATTATTGATAAAAGCTAATTGCGTATCAATCTTTTGCCTGTCCGAGATTAGCTGCCGCAAGTGTCAGCGGATCGAAAAAAACTGAGTGTGTCTCATCCATATTTCTTGACATGTCAACACGTTAGCGACGTATTGTTGGCGCAGTGAACGTTTAGTCAACATGGCTGAAGCATAAGCATATGATCGCCGAACTCGCAAATCACGATCCATGATGTATATTGATATAGGACTAAGTGTCGGTGATTTCAGCCAGTCACTCAAGAGCACTGACATGAAGATTAGCAAGATATTGCTCGAAGTTGATAGAGACCATGGTACCTTCACCGTACCGTATTCCTTTTCACATTCCTAATATCGACTTAAGAGAAAGCAACCAGCAAGTGTAGATTATTACCTGTAGTGGCTAATGACTGAAAGAAGCCCAAGAAACACCAAACATCGTCATTCTTCACCTGTTTCACTCTAAGTTATCCTTACAATTGCAAGGTCTACTTCAAATATGATATTGTTGATATTTTCTTTATATTCAAATCAACCAAATAGTTCTAGTGTTTTCGTAGCTTGTTTGTGATTCAATGGATGTTTAAAATCGGTCTTAGATAAATAAATATCGAATTATCTGAAGAACAGCAGATTTACAAAGATTGATTTTTGATGTACCTACGAAACGGCTCATTTAAACTGCCTCGGTAGGTAGTAATTGCAATAATTTTACGATTGTTCTCAATCTGGAAATTGAGTGACGATATAATCTGACAGGTATAAGATCACAACTCCACTTGTTCGAGGGTAAGCTGAGGTTTCAGTCGAGAATGGCAATTTTGCATCATCATTCCACATTAACTCCGATTATAAATTCTTCATTTCATACTAGCGCATACATCTTATGCACGTCGTCTAATATGGATTCTGATACATTTCTGCAGGGAAGGCAAAAGCTTATTTTCACTTCCACGTTTACTCAACACTAAAGATTACTCTATACGTACTCCGAATGAGGTAAGGGTTTCGCGTGGAAGACAACATTCACTCTACGATACTCCAATACGAGACGCCATAGAGCGATCATCGTTGTCAGATTACTATTGCGAGAGCACCATAAACCGATTACACTTCTATGCGTTAACTAATATACTTGGATTACTATTTGATTTGCGCGTCGATTGCCCCTTACATGCACGTAAGGCATCCATAAATGGGCATAAATCTCGTAAATTATTGACCCTGAATTATTACTAGGATGTCTGTCCGGCTGAAATATATTACGTTCGCCTTTCGTGACGAATTTAAAGACATTTGGGGGTTATATGCCGTGCATAAATAGCGGGGTGTGTAGGCAGTAGCTTGCTTACTATTTCTCCAAACCAATACAGAATGATCAATCCTGGATCTAGAAATGCGATTTGATTTTCCCCTACAGTCACAGGAGAGCAAGCAATACCCGGAGAAGATCTGTAAGAGAAATAAAATGAAAATCCAATTCGGAAGATTCGCAAGCTAGACATTCTCAATAGAAAACTAATCATTTTCTTGGTCTGATTTCGAGAGTCTCACTGTGCAAGATCACCGCATATGAATGGTGATTTTGGATCAGCAGGAGAGAAAGCACTTGACTTGAAATACGCGAAAGAAGATCGTTCGAAGTTGTCGCTGTGTGATGAACTTGTTGCTCAAGCCAAAGACCAAACTTTAACGCCACAACCATTTTATCCCCAAAGCATAAGAATCACACGTTGGATTACCAATCACAGTTAACACTTGTAGAGCGAAAAACCAGATAGATTGATGAACGCTCTCCAGGAAAGAGATCATCAAAGTATACACAGTCTCATAATTTGTCAAGTAATCCAGGCCCTGGCTTCCAGAATTGCATGCTTGTCCTCTTCCTGTGTCAGAAACGATCAAGTTCTTTATGATGTATTCAGGCTGCTGATGCCTCTAAAGCATCAGGATATCATCAATACTGCTGTAGATCTAACTTGAAAGACAATGCAGGCCAAGGGTTCGATCCAGAAGCCAGAAAACAGTAGCATAACCTTGGACTGGAGACAAAATCGAAAGCTATGGATGTTCGATTACTGTCGTGAAAAGAAGCAGAAAATCTCATCTTTGATTGCGTGAATCATAAACACATGAAGTCCAAAGTGCGACATAGTATGGGATGCTAAGAAGACCAATTATATCTTCTAGATTTACAAAGCAAAAGAATGAGCTCTTATTCGAGAAATTCTTTGGAACAGGAAGAAGAAATCACTAAGCTTTCGAGGAAGATGTCATTACTGTGATCGAATATGGAATAGGTCAGTGTACAAATATTATTTTACCTCATTTAATCACCATTCTCTCTTGTGCCATCTGAGATAACGAGAACCAAAATGTAGTTCGATGTCATTGTTTTCTGATTGTTTCGTGCTTGGGTTTAGAAACCTACAGTAAGTATGCTTCATTAAACAAGCTTCACAACAGGCAATATATCAGAAGCAAATAGAAATAGAAGTAATATCAGCATTAAAAAAATACTAGGGGATCTTCTATCTTTTCCCGAAATTTTCTCGCCTGTTTCCCCAGGGGTCATCCCTACAATCATCTCGAACTAGGGACAGAACTGGCATACCAAAACCCTCTGGTAGTAGCATTCTTGGTACTTTCGCGGATTTGTGGAGCAACATAATTATTTCCTCTGACATGGTACAATTCTTCTCTCGTCATTAAGACTTCGCAATATGCAAATTACTGGCGATGGTACATTAGCATGTTCTGTTCACGATCCCTCTTCACGGTGAACTAACCTCGTGATGTGCAACAGTAGCTGGACGTGCAACTGGACGTGCAACTGGCCGTACAACAGTAGCTGGAGAAACTGGTTTGGGAGTAGGTTCGTAATCTTCATCGTCCACTATGAAAAGTTATAAGTAAAGAGTTTCCATCGTCTTGTATAATATAATCTTACTTTCTTCATCCGAGGAACCTGCTGAGCTGGGGGTATATTCACGATCAGGTGTAAGATTGGAGTGGTCATCTTCGACAGCTATATACAATCAGTAAAGGTAATTCAATGGTGGGTTGAATCGAAATCTTACGTTCTCCCATGACAACAGGTTGGGTCTTTTGAGTGCTCCTTGTTATGTAGCGATGAACTCCAGCAGGCGCAGTGATTTCAGCAGGCGCAGTGATTTCAGCAGGCGCAATGATTTCAGCAGGTGCAGTGTTTTCAGCAGGCGCTTCATGCTCATTATCACGTTCGAAGAAATCGGAACCACGAATTTGGCTCAAAGAGTGGTGGACACGTGCGAGAGCAATTGGGTCACGGCGGACATGGTTGTAAAGTAGGTTATACTTTGATTGAAGTCCATTGTGCTGACACTGAAGGTTGCCGTGCCGAGTTTGAAGGTCATTATGCTGCATTTGAAGTTGGTTGTATTGAAATTGAATCTGCTCATTTTGGATTTGAAGCTGATCACACTGATATTGAAGTTGATGGTGTTGAAATTGGAGATCAACATTTTGGCCATACTGAGCATAAACTTCTCCGTTCTCAGGAGGAAAAGAAGGATACCGCTGATGGTCGGTGATAGGGTAGTACGGATTCTGATAGTCCTCTTCCATTGTATTTTGTGTTCAGACGCGCGCCTTTTGTACTGTACAAAGTTACATTAGCATGAAAGATTTTTCAAATCAGATAAACGATTGTGAAGGGTTGATAAGTTGATAAAACATTTTGTGACATACCAGTTAATTGTTGTTCGAATTATTTAGAATCAAAATTGACCTGGTATACAGTAGGTAACCTTTAAACAAGTCACACGGACCTCGAAGGTTCCAATACTTACCTACTTTGAGCCTCGGATATTGGAAGTCATGTGGGTAAGGTTAACAGGTGAATTGATAAGACAGACGAGTTGCGGAGGTGAACAAATGGACTTTACCGAAAGATGGAAAAGACAAAAACTTGAAGTGATTCTCATCTGATGATTACTGCTTTTGATATCGTTAGATGTTTGATAGGATAAGCGAGACTCAGGGGTTCTTGTCTGATGTTTGTGGGGGCTGGGTAGCATTCGTCATGAGTACTCAAGATGATCTTTTTTAGACCTTCTTCAGGCTTAAACAACGAAATATCAATGATTTAATTAGTTACACTAATCATTTCAGGTCATTCGATATCTAGGTATACACAATGAATTCTCAATGCTGAATATTTCGCTTCTCGGTGAGGCATAGACTTTAATAAAGAAGGTTTGGTTTGCTCAATTGACTCAACTTATACTACAATATTTCCATTTAACATCAACATAATCAATCATTTTCATACCCGCATCAACAATTTTATAGTCTGAGCATCTGACATGTTGCTTGCATATATAAGTTAAGTTCTATTATCTATGTAAGAATAAAGAAGGTTCGCACCTGATTCTATAGATATAAACCTCTTAGTTTAGGAACACTTGAGTGGATATTAACGATGATCTAAGGGAACTTAAGAAGGCACATTCTAGTAAATTCCTTCGGAATCATCAATAAACGACTACATACATTCTAACATTTTCTTCTACTTCAATCTAAATCGCTTCGCTTGTCGGGCATCTGAGTTTGACAGCATTATTATGTTGAAGTAAGTGACATAGGCTTTTGAATTGTACAAGGACTATTATTCGAGAATAAATTGAATGCGTCGGTACTAGAAGAGGTAATCTGTGTGCTTTCTGTATAGAGGGATGATTCTGATTCTACTGAAGTTGCTAAAGAGAGATTTAGAATGCGACTCAGAAGGAAGTAATTGCGCAAGATAGAATTGTCATATATTTTCTGGAGAGAATAATCAGGTGCAACCGCCAATGGCATGTACAATAATCCGACCATGTTCTACTAGTTCCGTAGTAGTGGTGTTAAAATGGTTCGCCTGCTAACCCTAAGAATTATAATCTATCGACGTATGTCTATGCACAGATACAGTACAGTTAAAAATTTGTGTGAATTTCACATCACGAACCTTGTGAATCTTCAAGGTTATCCGACTTTTCACTCTGGAAAACTTTCCTTGGCCATTCCATTGACTCCTTCCATTTCACTTCACCGTCCCGGGTCAACTGACTCCAAATTCCCTCCACCCATTTTTGATGACCTCTGATCTCACCCCCGACTCCAAGGCCACTGCTTGAACTACTAGGATTACTGGTTTCAGCTTCACGACAAAGAATAGGCCCCATGATCTTCTGCACTGCTAGAAAATGAGCAATTAATACTCTCGCCACTTGATTTGTTTCATCTATAAAAGCGCAGAAGGTACGATTACTCATCTTACTGATCGCAAGATAGATTTGAACAAATTTGAAATACGCTATTGAGGTGTCAGACAGTCATAACATGCCATGCAAGAGGTAACAAGGAGAAGGTATAGTGAGGAGAAGAATACCAGATAGAGAAGAGATTTCCCATTGCTCGACAACGGCTGAAAGCATTCCAAAGAATTCCATATTGATTTTACTTCTCTGGCATATATATTTAACCAGATTCAACGATCTTTTAGCATCCTGGGTGGAATGATTGGGAATTTTAGGCAGATCAACAAGTCGCCCCTCCATCTGTTGCCAATGATCTCCATCCCCATCAAAGCACATTTCTATCCCTTTGTTGTCTTGCTTGACGAGGAGACGGCTATCACGTAGAATGCTACAGCCACGGAAGAAATACAAGAGTTCAAAAAAGCCAGACAGATCAGACATATAGCAAGATTGAAACGTCAGCAAGTAGAGAGTTGCTTGTATTGTTTGTCTTTGGAATTCCGTCGCGGTCAAAGGATCGAGTCTGGTGAAAAGTGCTGACAGTCCACAGATGGCGAGTATGCGGTGATGGAGTGACAGTGTGTAATAGCTTTTGGCGGGACTTCCTGAGTTGAGTGCAGAATCAAAGGGAGAAAAAGGTGAATTGCTTGAAATATGGGATGCTGATAAGCCAAGAATAGCGTGCAGTAAGAAAGAATTCTTGCGAGAGATAGTCTGTTAGGCCACATCCGTTCAAAAGTGTAGGGAGCGAAACTACTCACATGATGAGCCAGAACTGGAACATGACGAACCCACTTTTCCTTGCTCCCTACAGGCAAATACGGGTGAGCATGCATCAAAAAATGATGAAAAATGAACATGTCATCTAAAGAGAATATCGTAGGTGTAGCTTGCAAGTTTCCATACGGGACCGGGCTTGGATTAGACATTTGGCGAGGCTTTAGGGGTAATATTGGAGGTGGAAGTGTAGGGTAGCTGCAAGACAGTTGATTTCGTGCACAATTTTGACATGAAGGTAGGGTTTCTTGACACTAGAATTATTAACATAAATAGATTCCATGTTATGAAGTGAGACCTATACTTTTACTTTACGTTTCTTGCAATTGTAACATCCACGTCTCGACTTTTTGTGCCCTTTGCGAGGTCTGCGGGGCTCATCTTGCTTCGTGCCGTTACTTGGCCATCCTGTAGAGGAATCTTGGCTAACAGTAATATTGTCCACCAAGCGAGTGTTACTACAACTGCCAGCAGACTCTGAATCTATGGAACAATCATGGTCGCCGCTCCTCAGACTGCTCGGATCTTGTTGCGCCACACTGCTGCCTGGACCATCACAATTTGCGTTTGCATAGCGTTCGTTTACCCGTTCAAACAGTTCAGTTCCATCTCTTAGTCTTGTGTAATCATCACGAAGCCATCTGAACGTGTTGATGTATTCGATATTCATTTGCATAGGCATGGCCAATAATCATGCGATAATAGATTAACGTTGCAGAGGACCGATTCTAAGCGCAGCACATTTCAAGCCGAAACTTTACCACGTGACTTGCATCCATATCTTATCAGATATCAATTTCGCGGCTATTATTATTCTCAGTTGGAACATTTTCAAATGTCGATTGTTTGAACACTTTCATACAAACTCAACCTCCATATTTCATGACAACCACAGCCGCAATACTACTCGAGCCTAGAGAGACATTGAGCCTACCTACAAACGGTGTTCAATCCCTTCATTGAATGCTTGTACTGGCAAAGAGGACGTGATTGTTTATCTAATATATAACCTAAAGCACCAAGTCCCTGGAAAAGAAAGCTCGGGTACAAGTTTCTTTCTATGTAAAGCTGGGCCCGAGGCTTGTCGGATCTTGTCATTCTCTTATGTCGAGTTCCATGAGTACAGAACGAGAGAAGCTTATGTTATGGAGGTTTATGTTGCGATTTTCCCTCAGTACCGGGCCGATGGCGGGTCTACTGCTTATTAGCAGGGTTCAGAGCCAGATGCAACTACAAGGAACATGCATTTTGCCTATGGGTAATGTGGTGCAACCACTGCAACGCAAGCAGAAGTTGATCTTATCAGATGAGAACCATTGAAAAATTTACATGTATTTTTTGAACCTCGGAGATAGAACTCAATCGGGCTCAGGCGAGCTCTCAAGCTTTTTATCGTACTGACCGCATCCTCTTGGTGGAAAGTAAGTGTCAAGCCAGGACAAATAATGGTAGAAGACTGGAAGTGGGCTAGAAGACCGAGGATATTTATCAGATGGAAATTCTCCTGCAAGGTTTTGGAACCCTAAAATTGTGGAGCGTATTAAGTTATCAGATTGAAAATCATTGGACGTAGTCCGGCTAGTGTCAGTTTAGCCACCACGATGGCATGATCACCGCAGTGAGCACCTGAAATCTAGTCTGTCTGAAAAGAATCATGATGTATTAGGCATCGGTCCCGATACTGGCGACTGCATCATCAACTAACAGTTCAACAGGTAGGGATCTCGAGGAGCTGTTGCCATCTCATGTGATAAAATGGAATGACTCTTGTTTCTCTCTCTAATCCCTTCCTTTCCCAGCGGAAAATTTGTACCCTGCTTTATCAAACTTTATTGTTAGATTACCTAAAGCTAATTGATGTTTTGACCGCCTTCACGATTCCGACTTGGTAGCTATTGATCGGACAAATAATCTTCAACATTAATTTCCTTCCATCTAGAATTCTACTTGAGCGAATCTCCTGCTATGCTAGTTTGTTCTTCTGTTTCAACATCTAACATCATACCTCTCTCCACCTCCACCACCCCATTCCAAGTCTCGTTGCCCTCGAAATCCTTAAAAACTTCCCCAAAAACTTCAACGACTCAGTCACCATCAGCGCAAAAGAAGACCGAAAACAAGAAACAAGAACAAAAGCATAATGTCTCTCCAAATCCCCAGCTACGATCCCCCTCAAACATCCCTTCCTCGGCCCCATCCCCATCTCACAAACCGCACGCGCGCATACGACATCATCTCGACAAACTTTTCCATCGCCCAACTCAGTCTCGCTATCACCGCGACGGTGAAACGGAGTCCGTTGTCAATCTTATTCCTGAGTCAAACTCCTGAATCAGATCTTGGGGGCTTGAAAAATGAAGCTGTCTTCATGCAAGATTTTGCCACAAGTTTAGATCCAACTTGTCGATATACATTCCTCAATTATCTGAGCGAGGAGGGGATGTTGGGAGAATGGATGACCAAAGGGGAAATGAATCCAAGTGTGGAAGAGTGGACAGAATATGCTAGATGGTGTGCCAAGGTTGTTAGGGAAGAAGGATGGGTTGACTTCTCTGAAGGTAGCGTAGAGGGAGCCGAGCGAAGAGGAAATGGAAGAGCCATTGATCTTATGGTTTCTGGAGAGATGTTCAAGGCGGATAGAATTTTGGATGGGAGTGAAGAGTCTATGACCTTTGCAAATGAAAGCGAGGAATTAGACCTACTCCAAGCTACAGATGCATTTCAAAACTTGTGCGCGGCAGCTTCATCTTCTGTAAGTTTACCTTCTTCCTTCAGATATTCTGCGTATTGTGCCTAACATGTCTCCAATAGAATCTAGCGGCACTCACAACACAAAACGAGAAGTTACTATCTCAATACGAGAAAGAACAAGCAAGCAGAATGGTCAGAGCACTGCTGTAGATATTTGGGCTGGCTCAATTATTACGATCTTGAATGATAGATGGATGGTGTTCAGGGACCTCATTTGATTCCTTTCGGCGCATTTTCTGGTGCAAATACCAGTAGAACTTTTAGATTTTGAAAATATCAATGTACATAGTATGGAAATTACTGATGCTTAGCTTTGCTTTGAAACATCTACGTCCTAATAATTTAGCACTGTTTTTCCCTTTTACTCTATTATTCTGGCCACGATTTCTCACAAAACTCGTATTCGAGAAAAAAAAAAGATTCTGCCGACTTGTTTTCGACAAATCCGGAAGGGATACACGATGCATCATGTATGACAACGATTCACATGTCAAGCCATGCATGCAGCTCAGACAGCCGACGAGCAAGCTTCGTCCTTGAAAGCTTTATCCTGCAATAAGGTCTTGGCTGGGAAGCTCGAAGCTGGGTGTCTCTGTATCAAACCCCCACCTTCCCGATACCGCTGTAAGTGGAGCAGGTGGGATCGCTCCGTTCCTCCCCTGCTTCTATGTGGGGTGAAACTGCCGAGTCAAGAGTTTTGACTCGGGACGAAAGAAAGAAGGAAGGTAGAACTCGTCATCAGGGATAATATGCAGTGGTTAATGGTAGCCCAATCCACGAGACTTTTGCCGGTTACACAAAAGATTTTCCATGGCGGTTCTCTGTCTAGGGGCTAATTTCTATGAACTTGAGATTGCAATTTTGCGGGATGCGATAGATGAATTTGATCCGGATCCTGGGAAGGAGTTTGTGAAATGACGAACGTATACGAGTATACATGGTCGGAATTCTGGCGTTGGAGAAACTGATGTATTAGAAAGTCCTTCGAACGAGACATACAAGTCAAGACATTTTCTCTGCATTTCTGACACCCAGAAGGCTTGAATATTAGACGCCGCTTCATAACAAGATCAGGTTTCTCTGACATTAGCAAGGTCACATTCTCAAAATCGGCGGTTTCTGTCATTACCAGATTGCATTTCCGTACGTGGAACAGTGACCTCGTGGAGGGCCGTTACAATCTCAACGGGGAATTCATGGTACTAGATCGCATGGTGGTGATCCATCGACTCCGACGTACGGTTGTCAACACGCACAAACCTCTGGGTCACGCATTCAGCGGTGAGAAACTTGGAGATTTCGATGCAGCTTCTCATGGTGTGGTGAAAGGAATTGATTCAATTCCTCGTGAGTTTCCTGTTTCGGTGACTTTGCCGAGGGTTTGGGAAAACGTCTTGTCCAGCAGTAACATATACTGAATTCACGCCATGGAAATTAATAGTTTAGCCTGCTTGGCGCAGTGGTAACGCGTAGCACTTGTATGGAAGATATTTCAGCGATGCTAAGATCATTGGTTCGATTCCAGTAGTAGGCAATTATTTTGATGTTTGGTAGTTTCGTACATTTTTGGAGATGGAAACTGACTGCACTGCACGCATTCTCAAACTATCCCAAGAAGAGTTTCTTACCTCTTTTCCCAGAATATCTCGTTGTAAGTGGTCGGAAAGGAGAGGGAACGAGGGGAGAGGAAAGTGGCGATCATAGTGTAATGAGCTCCATACCTCTAGACTAGCTGAGGTAGACAAAGTTCAAGTGTACAAGGGCGATTATGAGAACAACAGATGTAAAAGAGAGCACTCGAGTACAATGATTTGAATGGATTTGATGTGGGGAAGTGGATTCTCAACATATGGGGACTGTGGGGTCATCAAAGTCACTCCGAGTCTTGCTTTGTGATCTATGAGCTAGTGCTTTGTGATTGGCATGTTTTTGTATTGGCTATATGTTCACTTTAATTCAATCTCGACCCTTCTTCCAGGTTCGTAGAGTTCCTGCTCTGTGATTTGAAGATGAATAGCTGCCCCTTGATGTCGTCGTCTCATCATCTCTCCACTAGAAATTCCAGGTCCCAGCCCTCTTTGTGAATATCAATCAGATCAGCATCTTTGCCCTTTTCACTTCCCATTCTTTATCCTGTCATCCAACTCCACCATTTCTATCTAGCCTCTCGCCCATTCTTGACAGCATTTCCTCCACAATCCCGATGACCCATCACAAAATCCATTCAGTGACAATTGTATTTGGAATCAAAACACTTTCCAGCTTGATCTTGGTGGTATGCCTTATAGTCTGGACAGGCCGCTACATGATTGAGCTGGAGTTGACTGAATTTTGGGCATTTCTCGGTGTTACGCATGCCAGCGTGTCCGCAGGCGAAGTGTGTTAACAAGCTTGAACACATGGTGAGGTAGATTGAATTGAGATATTCGACGATTTATCTGTGAGGAAATGTGATGGTATTGACGAAGTTGACGAAGTGATCAGGACCCTTGCTTGACGAGGCGTTGTTTGAAGGTGTTGAAGTTTGACTTTGGACCTTTTGACTTTGGACCTTTTGACTTTGGACCTTTTGACTTTGGACCTTTTGACTTTGGACCTTTTGACTTTGGGGATTTTGAATCTTCGTGTTCTTAGAGATGGAAAATTATGATTCAAGAATGGATTCTAACCTTGATATAGAGATGGCTGAGGGGGGTAGCTGTATGTCAATCAGCACGGGAAATTGCAAATGTTGAGGTGAATGTTTCTAATTTTGATTTTGATAATTAGTGATCATCTACTACAGCATGCCAAAATTAGCAATCAAGATTATTGGCATCTGATACACATTCCAGTGAATCATGAATGGGTTGTCTGCTTCACTCGTGTACGGCATTTCAAGCATCGAGGGAGAATCTTGTAAAAGAGCGAGCACACGGATATTAACACCAC